TGAGATCACATGACCACTGGCATTACCTTAAAATCCAGGTCATAAATACAGGTGGTCCTCGACTTACAACTATTCATTTAGTGACCGTTTGAAGTTAAAAAAAAGGGACATGACCCATTTTTCACACTTACAACCCTTATAGTACCTGACCTGATCAAAATTCAGATGCGTGGCAACCATCTCACATTTACGACAGTCGCAGTGTCCCGAGATCAGATGATCGATCCCCTTTGGCAGCCTTTGCGACGAGCCAAGTCAATGGGGGAAGCCGGATTCGCTTAACGACCCGGTGACTAACTTAACAACTGCAGTGATTCGCTTAACGACAATGGCAAGAGAGGTTGTCAAACGGGGCAAAACTCCCTTGACCCCCGTCCCGCTTCGCAAGGGAAATTTTGTCCTCCTAAAGTTGAGGATGGTTGCCTTGTATCTTTCTTTGGGTCCGTCATAAACTTTGAACCGTCCCCGTCGTAACTTGAGGACTAGCGAAACGGCATTCCGATTTTGACCCGTTTGCTTAGTTCCTGGAAATGGAAGTAGGGGGTAAAATTTCCCCTGCTTGCACCCACAACAGGGCAAAGCCTGCGGTGTGTGTGCGTGTGTGTGTGTGTCACTGTGCTGACTTGTTCCTGGGAGTGTGCAGTTGGCAGGGGAAAATCAGGTTCGAGGTTGCCCGAGGCCTGCGTGGGAAGGCGAAAAACAGCGAGCCAAGCTACGTAGCCGATATCCACATTCTCACATTCGGTTCTTCTGGGTGGGGCACAGATCAAAGAAAATTGGGGGGGGGGCTCTGCTTAAGGTGGCCTGCAATTTTTTAAGTTAACAAAGTTGATGGGGGGGGGGGCTGGAGGCTAAAACATACAAGGAACGGCTGCTGGAATTGGGTCTGTCTAGTTTAATGAAGAGAAGGACGAGGGGGGACAGGATAGCAGCCTTCCAGTATCTCAGGGGCTGCCCCAAAGAAGAGGGAGTCAAGCTACTCTCCAAAGTGCCTGAAGGCAGGACGAGAAGCAACAGATGGAAACTAACCAAAGAGAGAAGCAACCTAGAACTAAGGAGAAACTTCCTGACAGTGAGAACAATTAACCAGTGGAACTCCTTGCCTCCAGAAGCTGTGAATGCTCCAACACTGGAAGTTTTTAAGAGACTGGACAGCCATTTGTCTGAAATGGTATATGGTTTCCTGCCTGAGCACGGGGTTGGACTAGATGACCTCCAGGGTCCCTTCCAGCCCTAGGATTCTATGATTCTAGAAGGAAGGAAGGAAGGAAGGAAGGAAGGAAGGAAGGAAGGAAGGAAGGAAGGAAGGAAGGAAAAATGATAAGGAAGGAAAGAGAGAAAGGAAAAATGATGAAGGAAGGAAGATAAGGAGAGAAAGAAAAATGATGAGGAAGATAAAGAAGGAGAGAAAGGATAAATGATAAGGGAGAAGAGAAAGGAAGAAAGGAAAAATAATAAGGAAGGAAGGAGAGAAAGGAAAAATGATGAAGAAAGGAAGGGAGGGTGGGAGGGAGGGCAATGGATGGAAACCGATCAAGAAGAGAAGCAACCTGGAACTATGGAGAAACTTCCTGACAGTGAGAACAATTAACCAGTGGAACTCCTTGCCTGCAGAAGCGGTGAATGCTCCAACACTGGAGGTTTTTAAGAAGAGACTGGACAGCCATTTGTTTGAAATGGTACTAAAGGGTTTCCTGCCTGAGCAGGGGGTTGGACTAGATGACCTCCAAGGTCCCTTCCAACTTTATTATTAATTATTATTGATTATTATTGTTGTTGTTGTTGTTTTGTGAAGTGAGTTTTTGCCCTGTTTCACGACTTTCCTTGCTACGATTGTTAAATGAATCAAAGGCATCGTTAAGTGAGACACATGGTTGTTAAGTGAATCTGGCTTCCCCCATCAGAAGATTAAAAAAACAAACAAACATAAAACATGGGGAAGCTGGATTCATTCAACAACCGGGCTCCTAACTTATCAGCTGCAGGGAAAAGTCGTAAAACGGGGCAAAACTCCCTTAACACACGTCTCGCGCTGGGGTCCATTGTGGTCGTAGGTTCGAGGACTGCCTGTCGAGCCGGGTTCTTCAGATGGGGTTTCTTTTGTAACGTCCACATAGGCAGGTAGGTGTGAACCCAGAAGGAGGGCAGTGGCATTGTAACCTTGGGAAAGGGGCAAGTGCCGGGTTCAAATTTCACCTCCACCGCAAAGTCCGCCAGGTGGCTTTGAATGAGGCCGATGTCAAATGAGCCAAATGCGATTGTGTCTTTGTGGCCCTGGATGACAAGGAGGCTGAGTCACAGCGTTGCGTGTCACACAGTGTGAAAGGAAAAGGTGTAATTTATCGGCGGCGGCTTTGTGCACAATTTGTAGGCGATTGTGAAGCCTGGCGTGATTTTTTTTCCCCTCTTTATTTCCTGGCCAAATTCGTGTCCTGCCTCGTGGCACAGGGCATAGACGGGGTTTCAGGGAGTCCCCAAACTTAGGACCGTTGGATTAACGATGGTTCAGTGAATCATGCGGTTGTTAAGTGAATCGGTTTCCCCGTTGACTTTGGTGGTCAAAAGGTTGCAGAAGGGGATCACGTGACCCCCTGGGACACTGCGACCGTCGTAAGTATGGGTCAATTGTACAAGCATCTGAATTTTGATCCCATGAGCGTGGGGATGCTGCAACGGTCGTAAGTTTGAAACAAAGGATCCTAAGTCACATTTTTCAGTGCCGTTGTAACTTTGAATGGTCACTAAATGAACTGTTGTAAGTCAAGGTAATATATTGCCTGTAATATGTTACTCTATACATCTATATGTTACTCTATACATCTCTTGGCCCAAGGAGGGGATAGTAACCTCAAATCCTAATTCTGTAATATAGATAAAGAAATAGATTGATAGATGGAGATAAATAGATTGATAAATGATAAATAGATGATTGATAATAGATAAATAGAGAGCGTGCATGTGCGATATGATTGATAGTTGATAGATGGAGATAAATAGTTTGATAAATGATAGATAAATAGATGATTGATAATAGATAAATAGAGAGCGTGCATGTAATATGATTGATAGTTGATAGATGGAGATAAATTGATAAATGATAGATAAATAGATGATTGATAATAGATAAATGGAGAGAAAGAGAGCGGTGAGAGATATATGATATGATTGATTGATAGATGATGGAGATAAATAGATTGATAAATGATAGATAAATCGATGATTGATAATAAATAGATATGATATGTAGAGATAAATTGATAAATGAGATTGATTGATGATAGAGGTAAATAGACTGATGAATGATAGATAGATAGATAGATAGATAGATAGATAGATAGATAGATAGATATGGATGGATAGATAGATAGATATGGATGGATGGATGGATGGATAGATGGATGGATATTACTGTAGAGATAAATAGATAGTAGATATTGTAGAGATAGGTAGGTAGGTAGGTAGGTAGATAGATGATAGAGACAGAGATAAAGATAGATAGATAGACAGACAGACAGACAGATATAGAGATAGAGATATATAGTAAAGATTCACTGTTTTAATTTCTTATGTGCTTCATTGCTATAGCATATCATCATAATCATAATCATAATACAGTTGAAAGGAACCTTGGAGGTCATCTAGTCCAACCCGCTGCTCAAGCAGGAAACTCTATACCATTTCAGGCAAATGGCTGTCCAGTTTCTTCTTAAAAACTTCCAGTGTTGGACCATTCACCGCTTCTGGAGGCAGGTTGTTCTTCTCTGCATTCTTTCTAGAGTCTCAACATCTTTTTTACATCGTGGCAACCAAAACTGGATGCCATATTCCAAGTGTGGCCTTACCAAGGCATTGTAAAGTGGTATTTGGCAAAACCAAAATTGGGACTTAGTGCCCATTGTTTGCAGAAAGGTAGAATTAAAGACAAATTGCAAGGCTGCCCAAATGCCAAGCTAGGATTTAATAATAACTTGGACTTCAGTAAGGCATTTGATAAAGTAGATTACAAACTACTACTTGACAAGATAGAAAAATGTGGGTTAGACAGCCTCACCACCAGATGGATCCGTAGCAGGCTGACCGGCCGTATTCAGCGTGTGGTCCTAAATGGAACCGCATCTATATGGAAGGAAGTGTGTAGTGGGGTGCCCCAGGGCTCTGTTCTGCTCTTCAACATCTTCATCAACGATCTGGACGAGGGGATAGATGGGGAACTCATCAAATTTGCAGACGACACCACGCTGGCAGGAACAGCCAACACTCCAGAAGACAGGCTTAGGATACAGGAGGATCTGGACAGACTTGAACACTGGGCGCTATCTAACAAAATGAAATTCAGTGGTGAAAAAAGCAAGGTTCTACATTTAGGCAAGAAAAACGAAATGCATAGGTATAGTATAGGGGGTACCTTGCTCAATAGTAGTAACTGTGAGAGGGAGTCCTAGTAGACAATCACTTAAATATGAGCCAGCCGTCTGCTGCAGCTGCCAAAAAGGCCAATATAGTGCTAGGCTGCATTAACAGAGGGATAGAATCAAGATCACGTGGAAGGGTTAATACCACTTTACAAAGCCTTGGTAAGGCCACACTTGGAATACGGCATCCAGTTTTGATCACCACGGTGTCAAAAAGATGTTGAGACTCTAGAAAGAGTGCAGAGAAGAGCAACAAAGATGATGAGGGGACTGGAGGCTAAAACATATGAAGAACGGTTGCTGGAATTGGGCATGTCTAGTTTAATTCCATTCCATTCCATTCTATTCCATATTTTCTGTCCTGTCCTATCCTATAGTCAATGGGGGAGCCAGATTAACTCAACAAACCGTACCACTAATTGCAGTGATTCACTGAACAGCAGTGGGGAAAAAGGTCGTAAAACGGGGCAAAACTCACTTAACAGTGGTCTGGCTTTGCAGTGGAAATTTGGGGCTTCCTTGTGGTGGAGGATCCCCGCCCCCCAAGGGGATCCGGGCCGTTTTAACTTTGCCCTCTGCCTTCTGCAGGTTGAACAAGATGCCGGGAAAGGCGTGGAGATGCGGAAGTTGGTGCTAAAAGACTTTTTGGCCAGTGAGGAGATGTACATCAACCAGCTGGAGGCCCTGCTCTTGGTGAGTGCGACTGGGCCAGGCCCTGGCCCCCACCCACTGTGCCCCTTGTTCTTATTTTGTTTTTGTTTTGTTTTGTTATTTTCTTTTGTTTAGTTTATTTTTATTTATTTTATTTTATGTTTTGTTTTATTCTGTTTTGTTTTGTTTACTTTAGTTTTTTTTATTTTGTTTTGTTTTGTTTACTTTAGTTTTAATTAATTTTTTATTTTATTTTAGTATATTTTATTGTTTTATTTTATTTTATTAATTTAGTTTAGTGTATTTTAGTATATTTTATTTAATGGTTTGATTTTATTTTGTTTCGTTTTTTGTTTTGTTTTGATAAGTTTTATTTTATTTATTTTATTTTAATATATTTTATTGTTTTATTTTATTTTAGTTTAATATATTTTAGTATATTTTATTTAATGATTTTATTTTGTTTTGTTTTGTTTTATTTAGTTTAGTTTAGTTTTATTTTATTTTGTTTTTGTTTTGTTTTGATTAGTTTTATTTTATTTATTTTATTTTAATATATTTTATTGTTTTATTTTATTTTAGTTTAATATATTTTAGTATATTTTATTTAATGGTTTTATTTTGTTTTGTTTTGTTTTATTTAGTTTAGTTTAGTTTTATTTTTTATTTTATTTTGTTTAGTTTAGTTTTATTTTGTTTTTTTTATTTTATTTTAGTATATTTTATTGTTTTATTTATTAGTTTAGTTTAGTATATTTTAGTATATTTTATTTAGTGGTTTTATTTTATTTTGTTTAGTTTAGTTTTATTATTTTATTTTATTTTGCTTATTTTAGTTTCATTTTATTTTTTTATTTTATTTTAGTATATCTTATTGTTTTATTTTATTTTAGTTTAGTATATTTTAGTATATTTTATTTAATGGTTTTATTTTATTTTGTTTTGATTTGATTAGTTTAATATATTTTATTTTATTAGTTTAGTTTAGTATATTTTATTTAATTGCTTTATTTTATTTTTTATTTTATTTATTATTTTATTTTATTATTTTATTTTATTATTTTATTTAGTTTTTTGGGGGAGGGGAGGAACCCAAAGGAGGAGAGGGCCGCAGCTGGAAAGGGCTTGAGATGTGGGTCCTCCAGGCAGCTGTGGGAACCGCTGCTCTTGCGCCACTCCCGGCTGGCCTCCTGGACTTGGAAGGTTCCCATGCAAGTCACGCGAAGTGCTCAGAGTTCCTTCCCTAAATGGGGGTCCGTGCGGAAGAGCCCCCCCCCTCCAGGCTTTTAGGGCGCAGCCGTTGAGCAGAGAGGCAACTTTGGTCTCCAGGAGAGACCCCCAGGCCCTTTGGGGGGTGGGTGGGAGGGGGTTTATTCTGGCTTCTCCAGTGTTTGGGGCTCTTTGGCACTGTCTGGATGACCTTGTTGGGGCCTGGAAACTCTCTGTCCATCCGTCCATTCATCCATCTGACTTTAGATCTGTGTCTACGTCTGTCTGTCTGTCTGTCTCTCTCTCTCTCTCTCTCTCTATCATCTGTCTTGCATTTATCCTTCCTTCCTTCCATCCATCCATCCATCAATCAATCCAATGTTAGATCTATGTCTGCCTATACCTGTCTGTCTGTCTCTCTCATCTATCCATCCATCCATCTATCCGTCCCACTTTAGATTTACCTGTCTGTCTTCATCTCTCTCTCTCTCATCTATCTATCCATCTATCCCTCCATCCATCTGAGTTTAGATCTATCTATACCTGTCTATCTCCCATCCATCCATCCTTCCATCCATCCATCCATCCATCCATCCATCCGAATTTAGATCTAACTTCTATCCATCCATCCACCCATTGTCTGTCTGTCTGTCTGTCTATCTGTCTATCTATCTATCTATCTATCTATCTATCTATCTATCTCCCATCCATCCATCCACCAATTGTCTGTCTGTCTGTCTCTGTCTATCCGTCTATCCGTCTGTCTGTCTGTCTGTCTCTCTCTATCTATCTATATCTATCTATCTCCCATCCATCCATTATCTATCTGTCTGTCTGTCTGTCTATCACCCATCCATCCATCCATCCATCCCAGTTTAAATCTATGTATATCTGCCTACCTATCTACTAGATTTTTATCCAGCCTTCATTACTTTAGAGGTAGCTCAAGGTAAATGAACATATCTAAAACTCCTTCTTCCTCCTATTTTCCCCACAACAGCCCTGTGAGGTGGGCCGGGCTGGGCGAAAATGACTGGCCCAAAGTCATCTGAATTATGGAAGGTTGAACCTGATGCTCCTTTGATGGAAGAGAGAGAGACACACAGAGAGGGAGGGAGGGAGAGGAGGGAGGGAGGGAGAGAAAGAGGGAGAGGAGAGAAAGAGGGAAAAAGAGGGAGGGAGGGAGAGAGAGAGAGTGAGGGAGAGAAAAGAGTGAGGGAGAGGGAGGGAGAGGAGAGAGGGAGGGAGAGGAGCGAAAGGGAGAGAGGGAGGGGGAGAGAGAGGGAGGGAGAGGAGAGAGGGAGGGAGAGGAGAAAGGGAGGGAGAGGAGAGAAAGGGAGAGAGAGTGAGGGAGAAAGAGAGAGGGAGGGAGGGAGGGAGAGGGAGGGAGAGAAGAGAGTGAGGGAGAAGAAAGAGTGAGGGAGAGAGAGGGAGGGAGGGAGGGGGAGAGAGAGGGGGGGGAGACACTTAGCAACTGACTCATATTTATGACGGTTGCATTGTCCCGGGGTCACATAAATCCCCTTTTGCGACCTTCTGACAAGCAAACTCAATGGGGGAGCCAGAGTCACTTAACAACCGTGTGACTAACTTAAGAGCTGTGGTGATTCACTTAACAACTGTGTCAAGAAAGGTCGTAACACGGGGCAAAATTCACTTAACAAATGCCTTGCTTAGCAACGATAAATTTTGGGCTCCTTTGTAGTTGTAAGTCGAGGACAACTTGCCACAGTAAAGGCAGCCCTTCATGAGGTGGACAGCGTGAGGTCTTGTAGCAGGGAGTTCCACAGGTCCCCTTTTGCTGGAATACATCTCTTCTCCTGAAACTTCCCCATGGGTTCCTGGGAGGAAGTAGTCCTATCTCTTAGTTCCTGTTTCTAATCCTCGGTCAACTGTGGGGAGAGTGGAAAGACGGCTGGGGGGGAATTTTCTAGAATTTTCTGGCCTCTTCTGACGCAGGTTTCTAAGAAGAAACAACTGGGTAGTTTCCAAAACTTATGTTTTTTGCAGGGGGTTTTCCAGTTCTAGGGGTGGTGAGACATTCGTGGAGGGTAGCATGTTTGAATTAGTTTGATCTAGAGCAGGGCTAGGCAACCTGGGCTCTTTTATGACTCGTGGACTTCAACTCCCAGAATTCCTGAGCCAGCATGGGGGAACTATGGCCCCCTCATGACTGGTGGACTTCAACTCCCAGAATTCCTGAGCCAGCATGGGGGAACTATGGCCCCCTCATGACTGGTGGACTTCAACTCCCAGAATTCCTGAGCCAGCATGGGGGAATTATGTCCCCTTCATGACTCGTGGACTTCAACTCCCAGAATTCCTGAGCCAGCATGGGGGAACTATGGCCCCCTCATGACTCATGGACATCAACTCCCAGAATTCCTGAGCCAGCATGGGGGAACTTTGGCCCCCTCATGACTTGTGGACTTCAACTCCCAGAATTCCTAAGCCAGCCATGCTGAGGAGAAAGGGAGAAGTTTCCAAGCTGAGCCAGGCTGCCTCAGGAATTCTGCGAGTTGAAGTCCACCAGTCATAAAAGAGCCAAGATTGCCTACCCCTGGTCTAGAGATTAAGGCACCAAGCTAGAAACCAGGAGACAGAAAATTCTAGTCCTGCCTTGGGCACAAAAGCCAGCTGGATGATTTTGGGCCAATCACCAGGAGACTGCGAGTTCTAGTCCCGCTTTAGGCATGAAAACCAGCTGGGCCAATCACCAGGAGACTGGGAGTTCTAGTCCCGCCTTAGGCAAGATAGCCAGCTGGGCCAATCATCAGGAGACTGGGAGTTCTAGTCCCACCTTAGGCATGAAAGCCAGCTGGGCCAATCATCAGGAGACTGGGAGTTCTAGTCCCGCTTTAGGCATGAAAACCAGCTGGGCCAATCACTAGGAGACTGGGAGTTCTAGTCCTGTCTTAGGCAAGAAAGCCAGCTGGATGACTTTGGGCTAATCACAAGGAGACTGCGAGTTCTAGTCCTGCCTTAGGCATGAAAGTTAGTTGGGTGACTTTGGACCAATCACAAGGAGAATGTGAGTTCTAGTCCCGCCTTAGGCATGAAAACCAACTGGCTGACTTTGGGCCAATCACCAGGAGGCGGTGAGTTCTAGTCCCGCCTTAGGCATGAAAGCCGGCTGGGTGACTTTGGGCCAATCAGCCGGTGTGGTTCACTGAGGAATTCTGGGAGTTGAAGTCCACGCATCTTCAAGCATGCAGGCTGGGGAATTCTGGAAATTGAATTTCCAATATCTGGCTGGGGAATTCTGGGAGTTGAAGTCCACCCATTTTAAAGTAGCTGAGCTTGAGAAAGATAGGACTACAACTGCCAAACTGCAGCCAGCACCTCCATAATGGCTGGGGGTGATGGGAATTGTGCCCCCAAGTGCCAAAGTTGATGTGTGGCGGTGAGTGACATAGCAGGGGAGGTGTATATATCTGGGAAGTTCTGGGTTCAAATCTCCCCTGGGCCTTGAAATGCCGTGATTGCAGCCCAGGTCTTCTGTCTGTCTGTCTCTCTCTCTCTCTCCCCACCCAGCCTACCTCACAGGGTTATTGTGGGGATCAAAAAAGGAACGAGACAGGGGTCTCCAAACTCGGCCTCTTTAAGATTTATGGACTTCAACTCCCAGAATACTTCAGCCAGTGCCGGCTGAGGAATTCTGGGAGTTGAAGTCCACAAGTCTTAAAGGGACAGCGTTTGGAAACCCCTGCAGGACAAGCCCGCTTCTGCTCCTGGAGAGAAGTTGTGGTAGATATCTCAAGAAATCAGTTCATCAAGGAAGACACATCCTTGGTGAGTGTGTGTTTGTGTGTGTTGGGGGGGAGGGGGTTGGTGGTCATCCCAGGGGTTATTCCCCCCCCCATTTGATGGCTCTTCCTCCCCCTCCCCCGCAGCCGATGAAGCCATTGAGGGCCACGGCCACCACCTCCCAGCCGGTCCTCACCATCCAGCAGATCGAGACCATCTTCTACAAAATTCAGGACATTTATGAAATTCACAAGGAGCTGTACGACAATCTCTGGCCTCACTTGCAGAATTGGGACAGCGAGGTGGTCCTGGGACACCTTTTCCAAAAGCTGGTAAGTCCGGTGTCCTCCAGCTCCTGAATCTGCGGCACCTTTCGGCAATCTTTGCACTCCGGGGTGCAAAGGGGGTTGGGCTCCCCACATGGGATGGGATGGAATAGAATATAGAATAGAATAGAATATAGGACAGTGGTGGCGAACCTATGGCACGGGTGCCAGAGGCGGCACTCGGAGCCCTCTCTGTGGGCACACGTGCCACTGCCCCAGTCTCGCCTCCCCCCGTGACCCCCTCCTCACTAGCAGCCCCCCTGAAGGAGAGTAGCCCCCAAGCGTGGCCCACGTGGAACAGCGCAGCCAGGACATGGCAGCCAGGCAGCGTAGACAAGATTCTATCCTCATGTCCCATCATGCAGTTGATGCTGCAGGGCGCGGGCAGAGGGTGTGGCTGCCATAGCGCTGCTGGGCTGCCTGGACGATCTGCGGTGGGCCCTGGAGGCAGTGAGTGGCCCTGCGGGCAGGCAGGGGTGGGGTGGGGTGGGGGCGGGGCAGTGGGTGGAGCGGGGTGGGGTCAGTTTTTGGGCACTCGGTCTCTAAAAGGTTCGCCATCACTGATATAGAATAGAATATAGAATAGAATAGAATAGAATATAGAATAAAATATAGAATAGATAGAATATAGAATAGAATATAGAATAGAATGGAATGGAATATAGAATAGAATATAGAATATAGAATATAGAATAGAATAGAATAGAATAGAATAGAATAGAATGGAATGGAATAGAGTATAGAATAGAATATAGAATAGAATATAGAATAGAATGGAATGGAATAAGTATAGAATAGAATATAGAATAGAATATAGAATAGAATATAGAATAGAATATAGAATAGAATAGAATGGAATGGAATAGAGTATAGAATAGAATATAGAATAGAATGGAATGGAATAGAGTATAGAATAGAATATAGAATAAAATAGAATATAGAATAGAGTATAGAATGTAATATAGAATAGAATATAGAAAAAAGAATAGAATAGAATAAAAAATGGAATGGAATAGAATAGAATAGAATAGAATAGAATAGAAAATATAGAATAGAATATAGAAAATAGAATAGAATAGAATAAAAAATGGAATGGAATGGAATAGAATAGAATAGAATAGAATAGAATAGAAAATATAGAATAGAATATAGAAAATAGAATAGAATAGAATAAAAAATGGAATGGAATAGAATAGAATAGAATAGAATGGAATAGAAAATATAGAATAGAATAGAATATAGAATAGAATAGTATATAGAAAATGGAATAGAATAGAATAAAAAATCTAATAGAATAGAATAGAATATAGAAAATAGTAGAATAGAATAAAAAAATTGAATAGAATAGAATATAGAATAGAGTAGAATATAGAAAATAGAATAGAATAGAATATAGAATGGAGGAGAGGAGTGGAGAAAGGATGCTTGCTGAGGAACCCGTCTTAAAATGGTGAAGGATGAGAAACCCACTGCTCTAGATCTTACTTGATCTGAATGTTTCACACATATTAGTCAGGATCGTCCGTTCCTTTGATTCGGTAGGGATTCAGTCTTCAGCCTTAAAATATTTCCACTTGGTTTTTCACAGCAGATTTCCAAAGCATTTTGCAATAGAGAGGTAGCTTTCCAGTGAAACTTAAAGAAATACACAGAATTCAGTTCTCTCCAAGCAACCATTAAAATATATTAGCCTTTCATTTTGGAAAGGGAATTTCTAAGGGGAACTTCTAATTTAGAAGAAAAGGTTAGCGTTGAAGATGTTTTTGACAAAATGGAGATTTTTTACAAGAATAGGCTGAGTGCCGCCCTTAAGAAGGATGCCGAGAAACTGGAATATGCATGGTGGGTGGCTCAAAATCATCCTTAGAAAGAAGACAGACGGAGAAACAAACAAAAAAATTATTTATAATGCTCCCCTGCTGGGATACATTCCAGCCACAATAAAAATGTGAACAAATAAGAATAAAACAGCAATTAAAATTATACAAGAGGAACAAAATCAGTTTTCGGGTAGTCCTCGATTTACGACAAACAGTGGAGCCCCAAATTTCCGTTGCTAAGTGAGTTTTGCCCCATTTTGCAACTTCTCCTGCTATATTTGTTATGTGAATCACCGCAATTGTTAAGTTAGTAATGGTTCTTAAGTGGATTTGGCTTCCCCTGGACTTGGCTGGTTAATTTGCTTTACAGAATAGTCCTTGATTTACAACTCCTCGTTTAGGGGCCGTTTGAAAAAAAACTGCCTTATGACCAGTCCTCAAACTTACAACCATCCGCAACATCTCCAGGTCATGTGGTCAAAAGTTGGGCGCTTGGCTAATGTGTGATTGTGAGGAATGCTACAAAGGTCGTAATTGTGAAAAATCGTCATGAGTCAGTTGTAACTTTCAACGGTCACTAAACACTCTGTTGTAAGTCGAGGACTACCTGTCAGTGGGTTCCTGATGGCTTTGGTCGTGGGTTTTGGTCAGAAATGCTGTTTATATATATAGCCAACAAAAAGTAGAGTCACCATGTGCTTTACTGCTGAACTGTTTTTACTGTAAAAACTCTACTTCGAACATAATGAAACCATAGAGTATAACCATAGAGACACACTACACACTGCCATCTACTGGCAGAATAATTCTGTACAGTGGTTATTGCAATATAAAATGGCATTCTAACATGTGCTCCAAATCAAATTGATTTACAGTAAATCACTAGTAGAAAGGCTTGATTTAAATCAACGCGATTTAAATCATAATTTTTAAAGAGCAGCTGTCACCTCTTGACTCACCAACAGTCCCGCACACTTTAATGGGGCGGCTGGTGATGTGGCAGTGACACCACAAAGTGAGGGATGTGGCGGGCAGCATGTGAGTGGATGCCCGCTAACAGACGCTGCCAGGATGGATCTGAATGACAAGTGCTCTTTAAATGTAAGGACACATTCTTGCTGGTGGTTAGAATCTTTAATATTATTATTTGCAAACAAAATGAAGGTTTCCTATTTAGAATAATAAGCTGCCAGGTTAGTAAAACCCCGATATCAGAACCAATTTTAATAGACTAATCACATATAGTTGGAGAACTATTCAAATTCTTTTATTTAATTAAAACTCTTGGGGCCTGGTACAGATGTATTTGTCTTCAAACCATCCTACAGTTTGCAGTGTGGATAGATTTGCAAAACAACGGGATAAAGGAATAGTCCTGGACTTTGTTTTATGATTTATCTCATGGTTACTGTGAAACTGTGTGAACGCATCAACGCAGTGCATGTTATCTCAGCTTGCAGAGCTTGGCTTCGTTGAATGAGTTGACCAAAAATGTAAATATTGCAGAATATACAGCCTCCTGCTGCATAGCTAAGCTCCATTTCATGCGGAATAAACCAAATTATTAATGTATCTTAAATAGAAAACTATCTTGAGATAGATTTTTAGCCCAAAAGCATTTTATTAAAATAAATTTGATAAAAATAAAAAAAATCTGATTTAAATAAAACAAAGATGATTAGGGGACTGGAGGCTAAAACATATAAGGAACAGTTGCTGGAATTGGGGATGTCTAGTTTAATGAAGAGAAGGACGAGGCGGGACAGGATAGCAGTGTTCCAGTATCTCAGGGGCTGCCCCAAAGAAGAGAGAGTCAAGCTATGCTCCAAAACCCCTGAAGGCAGGACAAGAAGCAATGGATGGAAACCAATCAAGGAGAGAAGAGAACTAAGGAGAAACTTCCTGACAGTTAGAACAATTAACCAGTGGAACAACCTGCCTCCAGAAGCGGTGAATGCTCCATCACTGGAAGTTTTAAAGAAGAGATTGGACAAGCATTTGTCTGAAATAGTATAGGGTTTCCTGCCTGAGCGGGGGGTTGGACTAGATGACCTCTAAGGACCCTTCCAACTTTATTACTATTATTGTTGTTGTTGTTGTTATCCAATTTTTTTTTAAATCATTGATTATTATCCACCCTGATGTGTTCCAACAGTTTTCCTCCATAATTAATATGCTTTCTCTCTTCCACAGGCTACCCAGCTGGGAATTTACAAGGCTTTTGTTGACAACTATAAAATTGCACTGGAGACCGCCGAAAAATGCAGCCAGCATAACAGCCAGTTCCAGAAAATATCAGAGGTGAGTTTTAAGGAAGAGGGTTAAATCCTGTGAAATTTCAACATACGTGGAGTCCTCAACTTACAGCCGTCCATTTAGTGACCGTTTGAAGTTACAACGGCGCTGAAAAAAAAGGGCTGACTTACGGCCCTTTTTCACACTTACGACCTTCACAGCATCCCCATGATTGCGTGATCAGAATTCGGACACCTGATCACTAACTCATGTTTATGACGGTTGCCGTGTCCCGGGGTCCCGTGATCCCCTTTTGGCGACCGTCTGACAAGCAAAGTCAATGGGGAAGGCAGATTCACATAACAGTTAGGTTACTAAGTGAACAAGCGCAGTGATTCACTTTACAACGGTGGCAAGAAATGGGGTAAAAACTCACTTAACAACTGTTTTGCTTAGAAGCGGACATTTTGGGCTTAATTTTGGTTCTAAGTCAAGGGCTACCTATTACCAGCTTGTAAGATCAAGTTGGTGGTAATAATAATAATAATAATAATAATAATGATGATGATGATGATGATGATGATGATGATGATGATGTTGAAAGGGACCTTGGAGGTCATGTAATCCAACCCCCGACTCAGGCAGGAAACCCTATACCATGGTAACCCTATACCAGGTAACAAGAGTTTAATCTTTCCTTTTTTTAAAAAAAAGTTCTTTATTAAAGATATATCAGTAATAACAATAATAGGGTACAGGTTTCAAAATTAAAAAAAAAAAACAGAAAATAAAGGCATTAAAAATTGGTACCAGAGCAAGGAGCATCATTAATATTAAACACAGAGGTGTCCAACCTCGGCTTCAGAATCCTCATCCTTTATTTAACAAAAGATTGACAAAAAAGGATACTATCCACTACAATTTTCCAACGTTACAATATTTTGTTTGTTTGATTGTGTAAATTCATATTTTTGGTCCCCGTCTAAAGACGACGCTGGTGTGAATTCCAACCTCAGCAAGAATAGGACAAGCCCAGATTATGAGTTATTGCTCTGTTTTCCGAGTTTCACCCAATTAAAAGCACAAATGTGTCAGAAAGTTGTGAAATTGTTTTCGGAAGGAGGTTTTGTTGTCGTTGTGGTGCTGTCTAGATCAGGAGTCTTCAAACTAGGCCCTTTAATGACTTATGGACTTCAACTCCCAGAATTCCCCAGCCAGCGTGCCTGGCTGAGGAATTCTGGGAGTTGAAGTCCACAAGTCATAAAAGGGCCAAGTTGGAAGACCCCTGGCCTAGATCAATACAAGCAAAGATACAGGTAGGCCCAATGGTGGGATTCAGCCAGTTTGTACCAGTTTGGCAGAACCAGTAGCTAATTTTTTATTGCCCAGGCCCAGAATGGACTTCCAGAAGCGGCATTTACACAGAGAACCGGTTGTTCACCTATTTGAATCCCACCCCTGCGTAGGCCTCAATTTATGAGCGGAATTTCCATCCCTAAGTGATGCGCTGCAAGTTGGACCTGAATTTACGGCCTTTTTGCCATCGTCATTAAACGAATCTGCCTTCCCTCGTTGACTTTACTTGTTGTAAGCCGGCTAGGAAGATTGTAAATGTTGCTCATGTGACCCAGGGATCCTGCAAACCGTCGTAAAATTCAGGCCAGTGGCCAAGTGCCCAGATTTTTAGCACGGTTGTTAAGCAAATCATTCCAATTCTTAAGTGGATTATGTGGTTGTTAAGTGAATCCGGCTTCCTGCACTGACTTTGATTGTTTGCAAGCTGGCTGGGAAGCTTACAAACAGGGATTAATGATGATAATAATAGTAATAATAGTAACAACAACAACAACAACAACAATAATAATAATAAAGTTGGAAGGGACCTTGGCGGTCATCTAGTCCAACCCCCTGCTCAGGCAGGAAACCCTATGCCATTTCAGACAAATGGCCCCGGGATACTGCATCCGTCATACATGAGTGCCTGTTTGCCAAGCATCTGGATTCTGATCCCCTGGGGAATGGTGCGACGGTCGTAAGTGTGGGGACTGGTCATAAGTCGTTTTTCCCAGTGCTGTTGTAGCTTCAAACGGTCACTAAATGAACGGCTTTAAATCAAGGATCGCCTGTACTAGGAAATACATCCATGAAATACCTTCCTGTGTTTATTTTTGTATTTTCTAGGCCGATCGAGGCAAAATTGATGCCTACAGAATGCAGATAGTCCTCAGTTTAAAATCCATTTGTTTAGTGACCGTTCGAAGTCAAGACGGGACTGAATAAAGTGACTAATGGCTGTTTCTCATACTTAACGACCATTGTAGCATCCCCACGGTCACATAATCAAAATTTGGATGCTTAGCGACCGAATCATATTTACGACAGTTGCAGCATCCCGGGGGAGGGGTCACGTGATCCCCTTTGGCGACCTTCCTACAAGCAAAGTCCATGGGGAAGCCAGATTCACTTAACGACCGTGTGACTGACTTAACAACTGCAGAGATTGACTGAACCATAGGCGCAAGAATGGTTGCAAAAATGGGACAAAACTGAATTAAGAACGGTCTCACTTAGCAACAGAAATTTTGGGCGCAATTATGGTCGTAAGTTGAGGACTGCCTGCGCTATCCTGGAGAAATGGCTGTCCAGTCTGTCCTTAAAAACCTCTAGCGAAGATCATGGTCTCCGCCCCTGCTAATCCACATTTGAGGGGTCCCTGGTGGTCTCTGAGCTTGCTTGTTTTCTTGTAGACATTTCATTACCAAACTAGGTAACATCATCAGGGCAAGAAAACCACTCAGAGAGCACCAAAAACCCTACAGTTCTCCTCCTCCTCCTCCTCCTCCCACTGATGATGTTAGCTAGCTGGGTCATGAAATGTTTGCAAGAAAACCACCAAGCTCAGAGAGCACCCAGAACCCCACAGTCATCGTCGTCGTCCTCCTCCTCCTCCTCCTCCTCCTCCTCCTCCTAGCACTGTTAGCTAGTGGGGTCATGAAATGTTTGCAAGAAAACCACCAAGCTCAGAGAGTACCAAGGACTCCACAGTATTCTTCTTCTTCTTCTTCTTCTTCTTCTTCTTCTTCTTCTTCTTCTTCTTCTTCTTCTTCTTCTTCTTCTTCTTCTTCTTCTTCTTCTTCTTCTTCTTCTTCTTCTTCTTCTTCTTCTTCTTCTTCTTCTTCTTCTTCTTCTTCTTCTTCTTCTTCCTCCTCCTCCTCCTCCTCCTCCTCGTCGCACTGATGATGTTAGCTAGCAGGGTGATGAAACGTCTGCAAGGAAAACCACCCAGCTCAGAGAACACCAAGGACCCCTCATGTCAGCCCTGAGCTACAAATATCCCCCTTTATTAAATCCACTGTTCTTCCTGTTTTTTGTTTTTTTTTTCTTCCAGAATCTTTGTCTCGAAATCCTTCCTTCCCATACCCTGGTGTGTTTGTGTGCAAATGTGTCTTTGGCCTAGGTTGGTGTTTGCTGCACTTGCAAGTCCCTTTTGCACCCCCTCCGAGACCCTTCCTCCTTCCAAGACCACCCTCCACTCCCCTCTCCTTTACACGTGCTGGGAGTTAGTTAATTTTTTCCCCTCCTTGGAAAATGATGAGAAAAGGACCAAGCCACGGAAAATTGCCTCGACCCCAAAGCTGGGGCTGGTCCCCTCGATGCCCTTGCTTTGCCCCCCACCTTTGACCTCTGCTAGAGCAGTGGTTCTCAACCTGTGGGTCGGGACCCCATTTGGGGTCGAACGACCATTTCACGGGGGTCGCCAAACAACGCAGTCCGCCATTTTTTCCCCCTTTTCCTTAGCTGTGCTACTCCCTTTTATTCTATTGGCTTTTGAAAGCCAATAGAATAGACTCTCTTGAATAGAGTCTCATTCTATTGGCTTTCAAAAGCCAATAGGAATTGTCCAGGCTGTCTCTGCCCTGCTGAGCCCGCCAAAAGTCCCATTCTGCAAACGGTGCTGCACCAGTGGAGTAGTCCTCGACTTACGACCGGTTGAGTAGTCCTCGACTTACGACCGGTTGGGGGTGGCGGCATTAAAAAGGTTGAGAACCACTGTGCTAGAGGGAGCTTCCTTTTGGGGGTCCCCCCATTGCCGTGCTGGCCTCTGCTGACTTTTTCCTTTCTACAGGAGCTGAAGGTCAAGGGGACCCACAGTTTTGTCACCATGGAAGGTAACCAGCTTCTCTTTTTTGGGGGGGGAGGTTGGGGAAAGGGTAGTATTTTGGGGTGTCAGGTGGCATCTCCCCATCTTTTTCTGCCTCCCCTTGCCTGCTCTTTTGGGGTGCCGACAAGAAACCCAGATTGCTGGTTGCAGAAGAATCCTTTTTCCAGTTCCTGGGAAGAGAGTAAGAGAGAGAGAGAAGGGGAAAAATGAAAGAGAGGAAGGCAGTGAGGGAGGGAGAGAAAGAAAGAGAGGGAAGAGAGAGAGAGAAAAGAGAGATCCAAAGACAGATAGAAAGAGAGAGGGAAGGGAAAGAGGAAAAAGAAAAAGAGAAGAGAAGAGAAAAAAGAGATAGAAAGACAGAAAGAGAGGGAAGACAAAGAAAAAAACAAATATATATATATAGAGAGAAGAAAAAGACAGAACGAGGGAAGAGAAAGAAAAAAAGAAATATATATATAGAGAGAAGAGAAGAGAAAAAAGTGAAAGACAGAAAGAGGGAAGAGAAAGAAAAAAAGATATATATAGAGAGAGAAAAGAGAAAAAAGAGATAGAAAGAGAAAGAAAGGGGGAAGAGAAAGAAAAAAGAAATATATATAGAGAGAGAAGAGAAAGAGATAGAAAGAGGGAAGAAAGAAAATATATATATATAGAGAGAGAAGTGGAGAAGAAAGAGAAAAACGGGGAAGAGAAAGGGAAGAGAGAAAAAAGAGAAAAAGACAGAAAGACTGAAGAGAGAGAAAAAAGAAATAGAAAAGAAGAGAAAAAAGATAGAGAAAGAAAGGGGGAAGAGAAAGAAAAAAAGAAATATATAGAGAGAGAAGAGAAAAAAGATAGAAAGACAGAAAGAGTGAAGAAAGAAAATATATAGAGAGAGAAGTGAAGAGGAGAAGAAAGAAGAGAAAAACGGGGGAAGAGAAAGGGAAGAGAGAAAAAAGAGAAAAACACAGAAAGACTGAAGAGAGAGAAAAAGGAAATAGAAAAGAAGAGAAAAAAGAGATAGAAAAAGAAAGAGGGAAGAGAAAGAAAAAAAGAAATATAGAGAGAAAGAGAAGAAGAGAAGGGAGAAAGACAGGGGGAAGAGAAAGAGAGGGAAGAGAAAAAAGAGAAAGGCAGAAAGATTGAGAGAAAAAAGAAACAGAGAAGAAGAGAAGAGGAGAAAAAAAGAAAGGGAGAAAGATAGAGACAGGGGGAAGAGAAAGAGGGAAGAGAGAAAACAGAGAAAGACAAAGAGAGAAGAGAAAGAGAGTGAAGAGAGACTGAGGGAGGGAGGGAGAGAGAAAGAGGAGGGGGCTTCCCTGTTTGGCATGCTGGCGGAGTCTGGCAGCCCCTCACTCCTCCCCCTTCTCTCTCTCTCTCTCTCTCTCTCTCTCTCTCTCTCTCTCTCTCCCACCTCTGGAGCTGGCGGACCCCCGGTGCGGTGCCGCGATGGTGCCATGGAGATACTGCTCATCGTTCGCTTTTGCTGTAACTGCACCTACGGTGGGTGAGCTCCTGCCAGCAACCCCTTCCCCTATCTCACCCCCTCCCCTTCTCCCCTAAGGGCTGGGCAGGGGGAGTGGGGGGGGTCTTCTTAGCAGGAGGGGCCTTGCCTTGTTGACCCCCTACTCTAAAATGCCGGAGCATTGGGGGGGGCTTGGGGAGGGGGACCACCAAGGCTTTGTCTTTGTAATGTCAGGAAAGGGGGGGGGGAGGAAAAATGAGGAAGGGTCTTTTTTTTCTTTTCTCCTTCTCACCTTGCTCTGGTTTTCTTTGTGCCTCAAAATTTCAAGGCTGGTCTGGTTTCAGGGGGGGGGGCTTTCCTAAGCAGGATTTGGGTGCTCCTGGGGGCGGTTTGGGGGTGTGTGAAAAGGGTGGGGGGCTCGGCCAGCAGCTGGTGAACAAAGGGGGGGTTTCCCGAGGATCTCCCTCCCCAGCAGCTGCGTCTTGACAATTACCTGGATGGAGAAAAAGGGGGTGTGTCCCCTGTTTGTCTTTTATTTTGCTCCGTTTGGATCAGTTGATGAATTGGGGAGGGGGCTGGGATTCATACCCCCCCTTTGTCTCCTTCGAGGTTGGGGACTCCTAACTGTGATGACATTGGGGGGTGGGGGGTCTTCTTGGCAGCTGTTCAGGGCTACACAAGGCAAGAAGCCGCTCATTCCTCGCGCCCCCCCAGTCGGGGGTTGGAATTTGCCCCCCCCCCCAGACTGGGTAGCATCCTTTTCCTTCTATTTCTTCTATGGGGAATGGGGGGGGTCTCAGCTCCAGGTTGGCGAGATGCTTGCAAAGAAATTCTGGGAGTGGAAGTCCACCCCTCTTAAAGCAGGCTGGCTGGGGGATTCTGGGAGTGGAAGTCCACCCGTCTTAAAGCAGGCTGGCTGGGGGATTCTGGGAGTGGAAGTCCACCCCTCTTAAAGCATGCTGGCTGGGGGATTCTGGGAGTGGAAGTCCACCCCTCTTAAAGCATGCTGGCTGGGGGATTCTGGGAGTGGAAGTCCACCCACCTTAAAGCATGATGGCTGGGGGATTCTGAGTGTTGAAATCCACTCCTCTTAAAGCATGGTGGCTGGGGAATTCTGGGAGTGGAAGTCCACCCCTCTTAAAGCATGCTGGCTGGGGGATTCTGGGAGTGGAAGTCCACCCCGCTTAAAGCATGTTTTAACGCGGAGTCTGTTCTTGGAGGGGGGGAACTATGCACTGGGTAGTGGCTAGTGTTGTCTGCTCCTGGTGGCTGGATTTCCTGATTTAGCCCGTTTCAGGTCCCGTGACTTTTGTCCTGAAAAAAATGCCGAATCTTTCCAGATGGCAAGAGAGGGTCAGTGTATAAATTTAAGAACGAAATATTTTTGTCTCTTCAATTGTGGGTTCAATTGGGAAGAGAGGCTGGGTGTTAAAGGAGACGTTGTCCCCAGCAGACGTCAGAAACTAGCCGGGTGTGCAACTGTGCAAAAATGTTTTTGGCGTAAACCAGAGGTGTCCAACTGGGGTCAGTTTAAGACTTGTAGACTTCAATTCCCAGAATCCTCGAGGACCGCTCTAATGACAGGTAGTCCTCAACGTACGACCACAACGGAGCGCAAAATTTCTGTCACTAAGCGAGACGGTCATTAAGTGAAATTTGCCCCATTTTACGACATTTCCTGCCACGGTTGTTAAGTGAATCACTGCCGTTGTGAAGTTAGTCACACAGTCGTTAAGCGAATCCGGCAAACCCCCCCCCCGTGGATTTTGCTTGTAAGAAGGTCGCCAAAGGGGATCACATGACACCCCCCCGGGGACTCTGCGACCGTCATAAATGTGAGTCGGTCGCCAAGCATCCGAATGTAAATCACGTGACCACGGGGGGGATACGGCGATGGTTGTAAGAGTGAAAAAGGGTCATGTCACTTGTTTCAGTGCTGTTGTAACTTTGAATGGACACTAAATGAACCGTCGTAAGTGGAGGACTGCCTCTTATAACCTCAGTAAGAATTCTGACTTTTTAAAAATTTCCTTTTGGGAAGAGGGATTTTTTTTAAAGAAAAGCAGAGGGGAAAAATCCCAGTTTTTCGCTCCGTTTCACACCCAGATGGAACTCAAAGTACTTAATATTTTCTGCCTCTCCCCCCCTAGTAAAAGCGGGTTCAGTTTCAGGAGTGACGTAATGGGAAATAAAAATTAAAAAGGAATGTGTTCACCTTTGATGCGGATTAGGATAGAGTTGCCGTTTGATTTAAAATCCCACCCGCATATTGGATGGTGATCTGGCCGCAGAGCCAGAAGGCAGCCAACAATCTAATCTGCCATTAGCAAAAAAAAAAAACAACAACAAAAACCCCCATTCCCACGGGTGTTTGTGTCTGTGTATGTGTGTGTTTTTGTGTTGAACGTTTCCGCGAAGAACACAATGCGATTGGTTTCACAAAAATAAAGGAGGAACGGCCGAGAAGCAATTTTTGTTGTATACAAGCACGATTTTGGGAGGAGCTGGGCGCGAGGCTCAGTAAGTGGGAGTCCCTGACTTACGACCGCGATGGAACCCAAATTTAGGTCGTGAAGTGAAAAAATAATTGTTAAGTGCATTTTGCCCCCTTGGACCACCTTTCTTGTTGTTAAGCGAGTCACTGCAGTTGATAAATTAGTAACCTGGTCGCTAAGTAACTGTCGTAAAGAGGTCACAAAAGGGGATCACGTCATAAATACGAGTCAGTTGCCAAGCTTGCCTGGATTTTTATCACGTGACCACGGGGGAGGCTCCAATGGTCGTTAAGTATGAAAAACGATCATAAGTCGCTTTTTTCCCATGCTGTCGTAACTTTGGACGGTCACTAAATGAATCGTCGCAAGTCGAGGATTACCCGTAACTTTTTCCTGTTAGGGATATTGATGGTTCTCTGTCAAAAATTCGGATGGCCAGAAAGTGGACGTGAAGGTGTGATGCATTAAAATATTGATCGTCGATTCCCCCTATTAAAAACACAATCATTAAAACCGCTCCACGTGCAGAGAAAAAATGAGCCGGAAAAGTGTGGTCTTGTTGTTGTTGTTAATGTTTTGCACCTTATTTGTTTTTTTGGGGGAGGGCGGGGAGGAAATGGACTTGGTTTATTTGTGCATTGAAACGATACAGGCCGTTCGTTTAGCAACCATTTGAAATGGTATAGGGTTTCCTGCCTGAGCAGGGGGTTGGACTAGATGACCTCCAAAGTCCCTTCCAACTTTATTGTTATTATTATTATATTATTATTTTTCAGTGCTGAAAAATGTGACTCACTCTATGGCCAGTCCTCACACTTACGACCGGTTCATCCTCTGGCCATGAATGATTTGGGCAATTGGAAACTGGCATGGACTTGTGACAGTTAAGGTCACGTGATCCCCCTTTGCAACCTTCCCAGCTAGCATCTGTTAAGCAAAGTCAACGGTGGAAGCCAAATTTGCTTAATGACGGTGATTCACTTAAGAACCGCAGTGATTCACTTAACAACCTGGCCAAAAAAAAAACCATCAAAAAATCGGGTGCGACTGACTCACTCAAGCCCCTTGCGGAGCGATGGAAATTCTAGTCCCAATTCTGCAAGGGTCTTCCAACTTGGCCCTTTTAGGACTTGTAGACTTCAACTCCCAGAATTCCTCAGCTAGGCACGCCGGCTGAGGAATTCTGGGAGTTGAAGTCCACAAGCAGGGGTCTTATAAACTTGGCCCTTTGATGACTTGTGGACTTCAACTCCCAGAATTCCTCAGCCGGGCACGCTGGCTGAGGAATTTTGGGAGTTGAAGTCCACAAGTCATACAAGGGCCAAGTTGGAAGACCCCTGACTTAAAGCCTGCTGGCTAAGGAATTCTGGGAGTCAAAGCCCACAAGTCATAAAGGGATCATATTCTGACTCTGAGTTAAAAACGCCTTCTTTTAAATCCAGTCAGATAGACAACTCAATAGAAATGATTTCGTAACAAAAAATATATTTATAATCAGAAAGATTACTTGCATTCATGCTGTGGCTTCTGGGAAATACATCTTTTGTCCATTTCTATAGGTAAATGAATGATGCTCTCTTATCATCTTTATAACGGTGCAGGCTCATCGTGGTGACCTCCGATGGCCCATGCTTCTTTCAGACAAAGACATTCCAGTCTGGCTTGTGTCCAGGAAGTCTCCCAATGACCTTTTGAGACTCCTCCCACTGACCCATCAACATACCTAGCATTTAACCCAATAACTGCCAGATATTCTAACATACTGATACATGCTCACTAGTTAGGGTTACATAGAGCTATACGAGGTTACATAGAGCTATACCACTGGTTCTCAACCTTTTTAATGCCGCGCCCCCCCAACCGGTCGTAAGTCGAGGACTACTCAACCGGTCGTAAGTCGAGGACTACTCAACTGGTGCAGCACCGTTTACAGAATGGGACTTTTGGCGGGCTCAGCAGGGCAGAGACAGCCTGGACAATTCCTATTGGCTTTTGAAAGCCAATAGATTCTATTCAAGAGAGTCTATCCTATTGGCTTTCAAAAGCCAATAGAATAAAAGGGAGTAGCGCAGCTAAGGAAAAGGGGGAAAAAAAATGGCGTACTGCGTTGTTTGGCGATCCCCGTGAAATGGTCGTTCCAAATGGGGTCCTGACCCACAGGTTGAGAACCACTGAGCTATACGGTCCAGAATAGGCCAGGTTGGAAGACCCCCTGCAATTCTGGTCATAAAGTCAAGGACTACCAATTTACCGTTTTTGATGCAGTTGAAGAGAGAGGCTTTTTATTGCTACATCTAAATTTATTAGCAACTTTTAACTTTTTTCAGAGCTGTTGAAAAAGATGTATTTCTTTATTCCTCCTCCTGACACATTCCTTATTCTCACCATCATTTTTTTCCCCTCTTCCTTCATTTATAGCATTGCTGTATAAGCCTATAAATCGAGTCACAAGAAGCACCAGTGTGTTACAAGTGAGTAAAACCCCACAGGGAATTTGGGGGGAGGAGGGGAGGAAAGAAAGCTTAGGCGGTCTTTCCAGCTCTTTCTGATAACGGGGTGTGTGGCAAATTTAATTCAGAATACAGCTGGAAGGGACCTCGGTGGTCTTCTAGTCCAGCCCTCCACTAAAGCAGGAGACCCTACACCATTCCAGACAATCTGGGGGTCCAATCTCTTTGCAGAATAACAGAGTCTCTTCTTGAAAACCTCTGGTGATGAAGGATGTTACCCACAGCTTCTGGTGGCAAGCTGTTCCACTGGTTAATTGTCCTCACTGTTAGGAAGTTTCTCCTTTAATTACAGGTTGCTTTACTTCTGGATTAGTTTCCATCCCTTGATTTTCTCTCCTGCCTCCTGATGCTTTGGGAAATAAGGGGACCCCCCCCCATCTTCTTTATGGCAGCCCCTCAAATACTGGACATACCCAATTCCTGCAACCGTCCTTCATATGTTTTTTGGTCTCCGGGCCTTTGATCATCTTAGTTGCTCTTCTCTGCACTTTTTCCAAAGTCTCAACATCTTTTCTGTAATGTGATGACCAAACTGGATGCAGGATCCCAGATGTAGCCTTACTAAGACTTTATAAAGCAGTACTAATACTCTGCGTGATCTTGATTCCACGCCTCTGTTTATACAAACCAGGATTGTGTTGGCTTTTTTGGCTGCTGCCGCACAAGGCTGGCTCACGTTTAAGTGATGGTCCACTAAGACTCCAAGGTCCCTCTCACAGTTACTATTTTTGAAGCCAGGTTTGACCTAATCTGTACTTGTACCTTTGCTTTTTCCTGCCCAGGTGTAAAAGCTTGCTTTTCTCCATGTCATTTTTTTTTGGGGGGGGATAGGGCCCATTGTTCATGTTGTCAAGATTCTTCTTGTCAATGTCCTTTCTCAATGTCCTGACAAAAAATACATGCATGCATACACAGACAGACAGACAGACAGACATGTTGTGATGGGGTCTTTATCAAACCTTGCACCCTTCCTAGCTGACTATTTTCTTTTGATTTTATTTTAAAGAAAAGAAATATTAGAAGTAAAGGTTATCCATAGACCAGGTGTCTTCAAATTTGGCCCTTTTATGACTTATGGACTTCAACTCCCAGAATTCTGTTCTGTTCTGTTCTATTCTATTCTTGTTTTAATTCTATTCTATTCTATTTCTTATTCTATTTTATTCTATTCTATTTCCTATTCTATTATATTCTATTCTTGTTTTAATTCTATTCTATTCTATTCTATTCTACTCTACTCTACTCTACTCTACTCTACTCGATTCTTTCTAATCCATAAAAAAGTGTGGGTGTTTTTTGCAGCAAAGTTGCAGATGGAGAGATGGCATTGGGCAGGTGACCCCAGGCAGCCATTTTGCAACTCAAGGTTCTCCAGTGTTTTGCAGTCTGGGAATCCCAGAATGCCCTACCAAACCAGCCCCAGAGAATTCTGGGAGATGGGCTCCTGCTAGATCAGCTGGGGGACACCTAAATTGCCTTTGTAAAAATGGGGCACCCCTTTTTATAGACTAGTTTATAAAGAGGACAATCTGCGTGTTGCGGTCTTCAAATGTGGAAGGCTTTGGGGATCTTTTATAATAAGCTTGCAGTCCTTCTCAACTTACGACCGCCATTGGGCGGGAACTTGCATGGCTAAGCCTAAGGCAGGGGTAGGCGACCTTGGCTCTTTTATGACTCGTAGACTTCAACTCCCAGAATTCCTGAGCCAGCCATGCTGAGGGGAAAGGAAGAGGTTTCCAAGCTGAGCCATGTTGGCTTAGGAATTCTGGGAGTTGAAGTCCACGAGTCATGAAGGGGGCCATAGTTCCCCCATGCTGGCTCAGGAATTCTGGGAGTTGAAGTCCACGAGTCATGAAGGGGGCCACAGTTCCCCCATGCTGGCTCAGGAATTCTGGGAGTTGAAGTCCACGAGTCATGAAGGGGGCCATAGTTCCCCCATGCTGGCTGAGGAATTCCGGGAGTTGAAGTCCACAAGTCATAAAAGGGCCATAGTTTTCCCCATGCTGGCTCAGGAATTCTGGGAGTTGAAGTCCACGAGTCATGGGGGGGGCATAGTTCCCCATACTGGCTCAGGAATTCTGGGAGTTGAAGTCCACAGTTCATGAAGGGGCCAAAGTTTCCCTCATGCTGGCTCAGGAATTCTGGGAGTTGAAGTCCACGAGTCATGAAGGGGGCCATAGTTCCCCCATTGCTGTCTCAGGAATTCTGGGAGTTGAAGTCCACAAGTCATGAAGGGACCAAAGTTTCCCTCATGCTGGCTCAGGAATTCTGGGAGTTGAAGTCCACGAGTCATGAAGGGGGCCATAATTCCCCCATTGCTGGCTCAGAATTCTGGGAGTTGAAGTCCACAAGTCATGAAGGGGCCATAGTCCCCTCATGCTGGCTCAGGAATTCTGGGAGTTGAAGTCCACAAGTTATAAAAGAGCCAAAGTTGCCTACCCCTGGCCTAAGGAGTTATCACGTGACTGGCCCTGATTTTTGCGACTTTTTTTGTTGTTGCAGTCATTAAGGGAATCAGTGCAGTCGTTAAATGAATCACATATTCATTAAGCGAATCTGGCCTCCCTCATTGACTTGACTTTACTGACTTACTGTCAGAAGGTCACAAAAGGGGATCGTACAAGCCCTGGGATGCTACAACCGTCATAAATGTGAGTCAGTTGCCAAGCATCTGGATTTTGACCGCGGCAACGGTCGTAAGTGTGGAAATCAGTCATAGATTACTTTTTTCCAGTGCCATTGTGACATTGAACGGTCACTAAACGAACTGCTGAAAGTCGAGGACTGCCTGTGTAATGGGGAAGCTGGCTCTGGCATCCAGGATCTGACCACGTCTGTCAGAAATGGTGTAGTAGGGGTCTCGTGCTTGGGCGGGAGGAGGGGGTTGGACTAGATGACCTTCAAGGTCCCTTCCCACTCTGTTATGATGATTTTTTAAAAAAATGCTTTTTGGGGGGGTGTCCAGGATCTGCTGAAGCATACGCCGACCGACCACCCCGATTACCCGCTGCTACAGGACGCGCTTCGGATTTCCCAGAATTTCCTCTCCAGCATCAACGAGGACATTGATCCTCGCAGAACGGCCGTCACTACCCCGAAAGGAGAGGCAAGTAGGCCGTTGGGCAATAACAGGCGTGAGGCCTTTGGGGGGTTTCTAAAAAAAAAGACACTCTCTCTCTCTCTCTAGACCAGAATGGGATCCCAACCAATAGTCAGCAATGAATCCGTTCCAAGCAGATTCCTCCCTAGGTGGAGGTTGCCAGGATTTTAAGATACACTGCCGCTGTGCCTGGAGGCTCTATCAGAGTCAAGAAACGCATTCACGCGATCAGGATGAGTGCAGTGCCTCGAGAAGGAATCGACACGGCTGTTGTAGGATTCTAAGGCTGTGTGTGAACATTTGTTATTTTTCAAAAATCGTTTTTAATAACGATTATTGATTTATGATTGATTCATTCCTTAAATTTGTTTGCCCCCCATCTCATTTTGAAGCGACTCTGGGTAGCTTATAACATCAGTTACCGTGAGGTAAGATGGGCGGCCTGTAAAATTTGTATATATCTGTATCTATATATCTATTTCATATCTATATTATATCTATTTATCATCATTCTGTCTATTTGCATATCTACATTTTATATAAAATGTGTATATATATATACAAATTTATATACTGAATTCTTTCTGATGATTTTAAAGAATCATTATCTCTATCTATCGATGTAACTATCTATCTATCATCTAACTATCTATGCTTTAAAATCATCAGAAATAAATTAAGATTACTTTGAGGTAAGATGAATGGCCTGTAAATTTAATAGATAGATAGACAGACAGACAGACAGACAGACAGAGACACAGACAGACAGACAGACATAATGATAGATAGATAGGCAGACAGACAGGCTGACAGACTGACTAATAGATAGATAGATAAATACATAGATAGTCTAATAGATAGACAGACTAATAAATAGATGATAGATACATAGATAGATACATAGACAGACTAATAAATAGATAGATGATAGATAGATATAGATAGACAGATAGAAAGACAGACAGACACTGACTATAATAAATAGACAGGCAAATAAATAGATGACAGATAGATGATAGATAGATAGATAGATAGATAGATAGATAGATAGATAGATAGATAGATAGATAGATAGAGCATTAAAATAATCAGAAATAGATATCCCTACCCAACCAAATGACGATGGAATGAAAGTAAAAAAATCATGTTTTTACAACGAATGGTTTGTAATTTTTTTTTTTAACATTGGGGTTCTATTTGATTGTTATACGCTGCTCAGAGTCGCTTTGAAATAAAATGGAGGGCTATACAAATTTGATTGACGGATTTAGGAAATCAATCTGATGCCTGCAGCAACCTCTCCGCTGCTGCGAAATAAGAACCAGTGCCTTTGTGTGATTCAACCTAGAATTAAATCCTCATTTCACAGGCCAGGGCGAGCTTTCCGCCCATCGTTGGCGTTCAGATTGTCCCAGTTTCCCAGTTAGCCTCTGAGCATGCCGTTCGGAACGGGCCCTATCCTGTCCTATAGGAAAAGCCATGGTGCCTTTCTAGAGTTATGGGGTTGTTGGTTTTTGGGTTTTTTTACCATTCTTCCTCCTTTGCAGAACCGCCAGCTGGTCAAGGATGGCTTCTTGGTTGAGGTGGCGGAGGGGTCTCGCAAGCTGCGCCACGTTTTCCTCTTTACGGACGTTTTACTCTGCGCCAAGTTGAAGAAGACGGGCGTCGGGTGAGGCTTGGGGGAAGAGGGTGGGCTGCGGAGAAGCCGTGCGGACAAGAGACCCTGCGGGAAAATGATTAAAGCAGAATTTCCTAACCTTGGCCACTTTAAGACAGGAAGGACTTCAACTCCCAGGATTCCTCAGCCACATGTCCACATGTCTTAAAGTGGCCTAACTGGAAAATACTGGATTAGATTGGAGAATAGAATAGAATAGAATAGAATAGAATAGAATAGAATAGAATAGAATAGAATAGAATAGAATAATAGTAGAATAAAATAGAATAGAAAATAGAATAGACTATAGAATATAGAAAATAATAGATAATAGAAAATAGAATAGAATAGAAAATGGAATGGAATGGAATAGGATAGGATAGGATAGGATAGGATAAGACAGTGATTGCAAACCTTTTAGAGACCGAATGCTCAAACTGCAACCCAAAACCCACTTATGCATCGTCGGGTGCCGGATGGGCGTGGCCCATTGGGTGGGTGTGGCCACGGTGGTAACGGCAGACTGGGTGGGACTAAAAATTGAATCAATCAATTCGAACTTTGCAAGATCTTTTTTTTCCGTGAGAAATTGAAATTGACTGATGGAACCTTTTTTTTTTTTTTTTTTTTTTTGCACATGGCGGAGGCCTAAAGCAAAAAAGGTTTTATAAAACCCAGCTGAAGGCCTAGGACTGGGGCAACGGTGCATGTGCCCACAGAGAGGGTTCTGAGTGCCACAGGTTCGCCACCACGGGGATAGGATAGGATAGGATAGGATAGGATAGGATAGGATAGGATAGGATAGGATAGGATAGGATAGAATTAGTAGTCAGCCGCATAAGAAAGGATTTCCCTGTCCATGTGGTTTGGATAAAAGATAAGTGCAGGTTGAGTCTTGGTAGCTCCTTGGATTTTTCTTGGCCACAATATGGAAGTGAGCACTCTGGGATCTCCTAGTGGTCTCCCATCCACGGTCTATTGGCTGGATTGTCCTACTCTGCTGTTCTTGGGCTGGGCCAGACCGTTCTAGAGCCAGTTCAGGCTGAGCTTGGTCTTCCCTCCGCAGAAAAAATCAGCAGTACGAGTGCAAGTGGTACATCCCGTTGGCCGAGCTGGTCTTCCCCTCCTTGGAAGAGTCTGACCTGTGTCCGCACGTCCAGGCCATGCCTGACCACGACCTGGAAGACATGAAAATCAAGATTTCTTCGATGAAGAGCGAAGTGCTAAAGGAGGTCTGTAGATTCACTTAACGGCCGACTGCATGTTTCACTTAAGGAAATGGCCGACAGCTGCTAACTTTAGTTTGTTGGGCAATCAGATTCCAAGATGCTGTCATGGGTTAAAGTGGGGGGGGGTATCAGTCCTTCAAGGGTCAGAAAATAACAACCCCTCTTCAAATACCAGGATAAACACCCGCTGAATAAGTGTAGTCCTCGGCTTATGACCACAACTGAGCCCAAAATTTAAGAGCGACAGATGTTAAGTCGACTTTGGCTCCGTTTTACGACCTTTCCTGACACCGTAGTTGTTAGAAAAACGGTCGTGAAGCAAAACTGGCCTCCCCCCGTTGACTTTATTTGTCAGAAGGTCACAAAAGGGAACTACACTGGGACTGTCGTAAGTATGAGTCAGTTGCCGAGGCCCTGAATTTTGATGACATGACAACAAGGATGCTGCAATGGTGGTTTAAATGTGAAAAACAGCCACAAGTTACTTTTCTCGGTGCCATTGTAACTTTGCGCGGTCACTAAGCGAATAGTTGCTACTTGAGGACTATTTGTACAAGGACTCAACTTAACTGATAGAAGAATAAACAGAATCTTGAAAGCTTGACCGTATTTCCTCATCTTATTCTCTTCGATACATTAGAGAATCAAGAAAGGACCATCTTGAGTTTCTTTCTCACGCGGCCTTGTTTTCCCGAGCACAGTTCAGTTTTCCTTAAGGGCAGTGGTGGGATTCAAATACCTGAACAACCGGTTCTCTTGTTAGATGCAGGCCTGGACCTCCAAGGCCTAGAATGAACTTCCGGAAGTGGCATCCATGCACTTCTGGTGGTGGGTGTTCTAGGCCTCAGAGGGCTCTTCCCAGCCTCCGAGGCCTAGAACGGACTTCCGGAAGTGGCATCCATGCACTTCCGGCGGGCTGTTCTAGGCCTGGGAGGCCACCTCTGAGGCCTAGAACGGACTTCCAGAAATGGCATCCATGCACTTCTGGCGGGCCGTTCTAGGCCTGGGAAGCCTCCTCCAGGCATCCGAGGCCTAGAACGGACTTCCGGAAGTGGCATCCATGCACTTCTGGTGGGCCGTTCTAGGCCTGGGAGGCCCCCTCCAGGCCTCCGAGGCTTAGAACGGACTTCCGGAAGTGGCATCCATGCACTTCTGGTGGGCCGTTCTAGGCCTGGGAGGCCTCCTCCAGGCATCCAAGGCCTAGAACGGACTTCCAGAAGTGGCATCCATGCACTTCTGGTGAGCCGTTCTAGGCCTGGGAAGCCTCCAGGCCTCCGAGGCCTAGAACGGACTTCTGGAACTGGCATCCATGCACTTCTGACAGGCCGTTCTAGGCCTGGGAAGCCTCCTACAGGCCTCCGAGGCCTAGAACGGACTTCCGGAAGTGGCATCCATGCACTTCTGGCGGGCCGTTCTAGGACTCAGAGGGCTCTTCCCGGCCTCCCAGGCCTAGAACAGACTTCCGGAAGTGGCATCCATGCACTTCTGGCGGGCCGTTCTAGGACTCAGAGGGCTCTTCCCGGCCTCCCAGGCCTAGAACGGACTTCCGGAAGTGGCATCCGTGCACTTCCGGCAGGCCGTTTTAGGCCTGGGAGGCCACCTCCAGGCCTCCGAGGCCTAGAACGGACTTCTGGAAGTGGCATCCATGCACTTCTGGCGGGCTGTTCTAGGCCTGGGAAGCCTCCTCCAGGCCTCCCAGGCCTAGAACGGACATCCTGAAGCGGTGTTCTACTGAACCGGTACAAACCAGCTGAATCCCACCACTGCTGAAAGGTCGCTGCATATACCTTCTCCAAGGTCCTCTCTGGGCAGATATGGAGCCTCAAGATGTGGGGCGGAGACCTTTTGGCCAAGGGTCCAGCTGGGAGGTTTAGTTCAGCTGTCCTAAGTCCTCTTCTTCCTCCTCCTCCTCCTCTCCTTCCTCTGCAGAAGGCCAATAAAGGCCAGAGCCGAGCCATGGAGCGCCTCAAGAAGAAAATGTTCGACAACGAGTTTTGGCTGCTGCTCAACTCGCCCTCCATCCCCTTGCGCATCCACAACCGCAACGGCAAGGTAGGAAGTGGGGATGAGAAGGGGTGACTCTCTGGGGCAGGCAGGGTTTCAGCTCCTTGGGGAGAAAGTGCAGTTCCCATGGATCCCCTGAGGCTTTCTGGGGCTCACCAATTTGCAAAAGTCAACTGAGGCTGCGGGTTGTTTCGGAACTTGGTTGTTTTCTTACGGACGTTTCATGACCCAGCTAGGGAACATCATCAGAGTTAGAAGGGAAGGGGGTACGTGGAGTGGAGGAGAAGAAGGGCCGGAGGAGGAGGACTGTGGGGTCCTTGGTGCTCTCTGAGCTTGGTGGTTTTCTTGCAGACGTTTCACGACCCAGCTAGGGAACATCATCAGTGCTAGAAGGGAGTGGAGTTTGTGGAGTGGAGGAGAAGAAGAGGAAGAGAAGAAGAGGGGGGGAGGAGGAGGAGGAGGAAGGGAGGGAGAGAAGAGGGAGGAGGAGGAGGACTGTGGGGTCCTGGGTGCTCTCTGAGCTTGGTGGTTTTCTTGCAGACGTTTCAGGACCCAACTAGGGAACATCATCAGAGTTAGAAGGGAATGGGGTACATGGAGTGGAGGAGGAGAAGAAGAAGGGGAAGAGGAGAAGAAGGGGGGGAGGAGGAGGAGGAGGAAGGGAGGGAGAGAAGAGGGAGGAGGAGGAGGACGGTGGGGTCCTTGGTGCTCTCTGAGCTTGGCGGTTTTCTTGTGGACATTTCATGACCCAGCTAGGGAACATCATCAGAGTTAGAAGGGAAGGGGGTACGTGGAGTGGAGGAGAAGAAGGGCCGGAGGAGGAGGACTGTGGGGTCCTTGGTGCTCTCTGAGCTTGGCGGTTTTCTTGCAGACGTTTCACGATCCAGCTAGGTAATATCATCAGAGTTAGTAGGGAGTGGAGTTTGTGGAGTGGAGGAGAAGAAGGGGAAGAGAAGAAGAGGGGAGGAGGAGGAGGAGGAGGAAGGGAGGGAGAGAAGAGGGAGGAGGAGGAGGACGGTGGGGTCCTTGGTGCTCTCTGAGCTTGGCTGGGTTTTCTTGCAGACATTTCATGACCCAGCTAGGAAACATCATCAGAGTTAGAAGGGAAGAGGGTATGTGGAGTGGAGGAGAAGAAGAAGGGGAAGAGGAGCAGAAGGGGGGAGGGGGAGGAAGAGGAAGGGAGGGAGGAGTAGGAGTAGGAGGACAACACCTGTGGGGTCCTTGGTGTTCTCGGAGCTTGGTGGTTTTCTTGCAGACGTTTCATGACCCAACTAGATGATATCATCAGAATTAGTAGGGAGTGGGGTTTGTGGAGTGGAGGAGAAGAAGGAGAAGAGGAGAAGAAGGGTGGGAGGAGGGGTGGGAGGAGGAGGAGGAGGAGGAGGAGGAGGAGGAGGAGGAGGAGGAGGAGGAGGAGGAAGAAAAGGACTATGGGGTCCTTGGTGCTCTCTGAGCTTGGTGGTTTTCTTGCAAACCAGCTAGGGAACATCATCAGTTCTGGAAGGGAGGGGCGTCCAACAGAGGAATGTCATCTGTGATGCTCTATGAGATTAGTTGTTTCGTTACAGATGTTTCATGACCCAACTAGATAACATTATCAGTGCAAAGGAGTGTGGGGTTTGTTCTCTTTTGTGTACAGCAGCTTGCCCTGTCAGTGTGGGTAGGCGTGTTTTCTTCTTGGTGATTCTTTGCTTCCTTGTTTAGATAAGATAAGATAAGATAAGATAACCTTTATTGTCATTTTTTTTCACTCTGGGCGCAAAGGCACACATCAAAAATGAAATTTAGTTGCCCGCTCTCAAAGTGAAACACACACATGACACACACCTGTTGGTTTTGTCTGAGCTGGTCCTTCCTTGATTGGGATAATGGTTTACTCCTTGATTGCTGGTCCAGAGTTAATCTTGGCTTATCTGGGCGTTGTTGGTTGCTGGCAAGGGGCTTTTAAGGTCTCAGGTAGCAGCTGAGAAATAGCAGCTGCCTTCTGCCTAGGCCAGGGGTAGGCCACCTTGGCTCTTTTATGACTGGTGGACTTCAACTCCCAGAATTCCTGTGCTAGCCAGGCTGAGGGGAAAGGGAGAGGTTTCCATGCTGAGCCATGCTGGCTCAGGAATTCTGGGAGTTGAAGTCCACGAGTCATAAAAGGGCCAAGGTTGCCTAGACCTGGGCCTAGACCTACCTGTATAAGAAATAGCAGTATAATTCCCTCAGATCGACATCACTCCCACTGCAATTGTGGACGCCAAAATTAATTCCTAAAAACATTAAAAGTTACTCTTTTACTCTTCTCACTTGAAATCAAGTCAGATCTTAGACCAGGATTTAAAGAACAAATCTCAGAATAGGTTTCTGCATAGATATAATATAAGTCAGGGATAAGCAACCTTGGCTCTTTTATGACTCGTGGACTTCAACTCCCAGAATTCCTAAGCCAGCCATGCTTAGGGGAAAGGGAGAGGTTTCCAAGCTGAGCCATGCTGGCTGAGGAATTCTGGGAGTTGAAGTCCATGAGTCATAAAAGGGCCATAGTTTCCCCCATGCTGGCTGAGGAATTCTGGGAGTTGAAGTCCACAAGTCATGAGGGGGGCCATAGATCCCTATTCCTGGCCTATGCGCTTTGTTCATCTGGGCTGGTTGTCTTCTTTTGTAGAGGGGTCTCCAGGGTGTTGGACAGAGAAAGGGGCCCTCAGCCCTAGACCCCTCCTCAAATCTGTCACTTCTTTCTACGAATTATAAGAGGAGCTTCCTTTATGCACTGATGACGTTACCTAGTTGGGTCATGAAAGGTCTGCAAGAAAGGTGTCAAGCTCAGAGAGCACCAAAGACCCGATAGTTCTCCTCCTCCTCCTCCTCCCCTCCCTCCCTCCTTCAGCCCTTCTTCTCCTCTTTCCCTTCTTCTCCTCCTCTTCCTCCACCTGCTCCTCCTTCTTCTCCCGTTCCTCCTCCTCCCCTCCTTTTCCTCCTCCCGCCCTTCTTCTCCTCTTCCCTTCTTTTCCTCTTCTCCTTCTTCTCCTCCTCTTCCTCTTTCTGCTCCTCCTTCTCGTCCCCCTCCCCTCCCTCCCTTCCTCCTCCCGCCCTTCTCCTCTTCCCCTTCTCCTCCTCCTCTTCCTCCTCCTGCTCCTCCTGCTCCTCCCCCTCCCTTCCTCGTCCTCCAACCCTTCTCCTCCTCTTCCTCTTGCTCCTCCTCCCTTTTTTCCTCCTCCCGCCCGTCTCCTCTTCCCTTCTTCTCCTCTTCCTGTTTTTCTTCTCCTCCTCTTCCTCTTCCTCCTCCTGCTCCTCCTGCTCCTCCCCCTCCCTTCCTCCTCCTCCCACCCTTCTCCTCTTCCTCTTGCTCCTCCTCCCCTCCTTTTCCTCCTCCCGCCCGTCTCCTCTTCCCTTCTTCTCCTCTTCCCGTTCTTCTCCTCCTCCTCTTCCTCTTCCTCCTCCTGCTCCTCCTGCTCCTCCCCCTCCCTTCCTCCTCCTCCCACCCTTCTCCTCCTCTTCCTCTTGCTCCTCCTCCCTCCTTTTCCTCCTCCCGCCCGTCTCCTCTTCCCTTCTTCTCCTCTTCCCGTTCTTCTCCTCCTCCTCTTCCTCTTCCTCCTCCTGCTCCTCCTGCTCCTCCCCCTCCCTTCCTCCTCCTCCCACCCTTCTCCTCCTCTTCCTCTTGCTCCTCCTCCCTCCTTTTCCTCCTCCCGCCCATCTCCTCTTCCCTTCTTCTCCTCTTCCTCGTCCTCTTCTCCTCCTCCTCTTCCTCCTGCTCCTCCTGCTCCTCCCCCTCCCTTCCTCCTCCTCCCACCCTTCTCCTCCTCTTCCTCTTGCTCCTCCTCCCTCCTTTTCCTCCTCCCGCCCGTCTCCTCTTCCCTTCTTCTCCTCTTCCTGTTCTTCTCCTCCTCTTCCTCTTCCTCCTCCTGCTCCTCCTGCTCCTCCCCCTCCCTTCCTCCTCCTCCCACCCTTCTCCTCCTCTTCCTCTTGCTCCTCCTCCCTCCTTTTCCTCCTCCCGCCCATCTCCTCTTCCCTTCTTCTCCTCTTCCCGTTCTTCTCCTCCTCCTCTTCCTCTTCCTCCTCCTGCTCCTCCTGCTCCTCCCCCTCCCTTCTTCCTTCTCCCACCCTTCTCCTCCTCTTCCTCTTGCTCCTCCTCCCTCCTTTTCCTCCTCCCGCCCGTCTCCTCTTCCCTTCTTCTCCTCTTCCTGTTCTTCTCCTCCTCTTCCTCCTCCTGCTCCTCCTGCTCCTCCCCCTCCCTTCCTCCTCCTCTCCTCCTGCTCCTCCCCCTCCCGTCCTCCTCCTCCCACCCTTCTCCTCCTCTTCCTCTTGCTCCTCCTCCCTCCTTTTCCTCCTCCCGCCCGTCTCCTCTTCCCTTCTTCTCCTCTTCCTGTTCTTCTCCTCCTCTTCCTCTTCCTCCTCCTGCTCCTCCTGCTCCTCCCCCTCCCTTCCTCCTCCTCCCACCCTTCTCCTCCTCTTCCTCTTGCTCCTCCTCCCTCCCTTTCCTCCTCCCGCCCGTCTCCTCTTCCCTTCTTCTCCTCTTCCCGTTCTTCTTCTCCTCCTCTTCCTCTTCCTCCTCCTGCTCCTCCTGCTCCTCCCCCTCCCTTCCTCCTCCTCCCACCCTTCTTCTCCTCTTCCCCTCCTCCTCCTCCTCCACTCTACAAACCCCACTCCCTTCCAGCACTGATGATGTTACCTACTTTAGGAACGAAACGTCCGCAAGGAAACCACCCAGCTCAGAGAGCCCCAGGACCCCACCACTCTCCCTAGGAGATTTCCCAGACCCCTTTTACAAAGCCCCTTTCCCTGCTCTCCCGTGTCTCCCTAGAGCTACCTGTTCCTTCTGTCCTCGGACTACGAGCGGTCGGAGTGGAGGGAGGCGATCCAGAAACTGCAGAAGAAAGGTAAGCCATGCTGTGGATGGAACACCTGAGTCCCCACGAGGACCATCTTGGTTTTTCGGCCGGTGGTCTATGAATCGAGAAGTTCTTGGGGTGGAACCGAGGGGCAGGGCTTCCTGCCAAGGCCCAAGAGCCCCCCCATGCGTCCCCCAAAATATTATTTCCCCCATTTTCTGTGGGTGAGGCTGATCGTTGAGTCGCAGGATGTAGGTTAGTGATGGCGAACCTTTCAGAGACCGAGTGCCCAAACTGCAACCCGAAACCCAGTTATGCATCGTCGGGTGCCGGGTGGGTGTGGCCCATTGGGTGGGCGTGGCCCATTGGGTGGGCGTGGCTGCGGTGGAAACGGCAGACTGGGTGGGACTAAAAAGTTCAATCCATCAGTTCCAACTTTGCAAGATCTTTTTTTTTTCCGCGAGAAGTTGAAATTAACTGATTGATTGAACCTTTTTTTTTTTTGCCCACGGCGGCGGAGGCCTAAAGCGAAAAGGTTTTATAAAACCCAGCTGAAGGCCTAGGACTGGGGCGACGGTGCGCGTGCCCACAGAGAGGGCTCTGAGTGCCACCTCTGGCACCCGTGCCATAGGTTTGCCACCACTGATGTAGGAGAAGGCATGGCAGAAGCTGCGGGTGGAGTCAAAGGAAGAATCAGCCTAGAACCCCTACATAGCCACCAGAGGACCAGCCTTCCTTGATTGCTGTTGACCCTTAACTAACTAAGCAGATGCTGGCTATTAGTTGAGAATATTCATGTGTGTAGGCTATATTGCAATAAATCCATTTAAGTCAGGGGTTCTCAACCTAGGCAACTTTAAGACTTGTGGACTTCAACTCCCAGAATTCCTCAGCCAGCAAAGCTGGCTGAGGAATTCTGGGAGTTGAAGTCCACAAGTCTTAAAGTTGCCAAGGTTGAGAACTCCTGATTTAAGTGGATCTGGGGTTTTGTACCTGACAAGAAGGACAGAAAATGGGAAAGGGAAAAAGAGGGAGGGAGGGAGGGAGGGAGGGAGGGAGAAGGAAGGGAGGGAGGGAGAGAGAAAGGGAAGGAGGAAGGAGAATGGCTGAAAAAGGAAGGAAGGGAGAAGGAAGGAAGGAAGGAGAAAGAAGGCTGAAAAAGGGAGGGGGAGGGAGGGAGGGAAGGAAGGAGAAAGAAGGCTGAAAAAGGAAGGGAGGGAGGGAAGGAAGAAGGAAGGGAGGAAGGAAGGAGAAAGAATGCTGAAAAAAGGAAGGAAGGGGGAGAGGGAGGGAAGGCAGAAGGAAGGGAGGAAGGAAGGAAGGAAGGAAGGAAGGAAGGAAGGAAGGAAGGAAGGAAGGAGAAAGAATGCTGAAAAAAGGAAGGAAGGGGGAGAGGGAGGGAAGGCAGAAGGAAGGGAGGAAGGAAGGAAGGAAGGAAGGAAGGAGAAAGAATGCTGAAAAAAGGAAGGAAGGGGGAGAGGGAGGGAGGGAGAAAGAAGGGAGGGAGGTTGGAAGGGAGGAGGGTGGGAGGGAAGGAAGGTGAGAAAGAAGGCTGAAAAAGGAAGGGAGGGGGAAGGAAGGAAGAAGGAAGGGAGGAAGGGAGGGGGAAAGAAGGAAGGAGAAAGAAGGCTGAAAAGGGAAGGAAAGGAGGGGGAGGGGGAGGGAGGGAAGGAAGAAGGAAGGGAGGGAAGGAAGGAGAGAAAGAAGGCTGAAAAAGAAGAAGGGAGGAAAGGAAGGAACAAAATATGAAAGAGAAAAAGATGTGAAGAAAAAGAGTGTAGGGTAAGGAGTGGCAGAATCTAGGGGCGGAGTCACGAAAAGCTGGCTCTACAGAAGCACCCTTTGTCGGAGAAGGACTGGGGGTGGAGTCAAAAGAGGAAGAAGCTTAGAATCTCTGCGTAGCCACCAGTGAACGAAATCCATCCTTCCTTGAGGGCATTGACCCTATCTAACTCCAAGCAGCTGCTCATTGTCAGTTGAGAAGATCCCCTGCGTAGAGGCTTTTAGCAGCAACTCGGTTTAATTGGACTTTCTCGCCTGACATTACTCTTCTCAACTCTTGGTGTTAGCCCCTGTTCAGAGTTCGACAAGGCTCCACGGCACTCAAGGAGGGCTGGGCTGAGTTTGCTTGTGGCTACGCAGGGATTCTAAGCTTCTTCCTCTTTTGACTCCACCCCCGGTCTTTCTCCGACAAAGGGTGCTTCTGTAGTGCCAGCTTTCCGTCGCATCCTTGTGACTGGGGCTGCCATTTTTGCATCCGCGTCTCTCCCAAGCTGCTGCCCTTCTCATCTCTTCCCACAATGATGCCCCCCCTCCCTTCCTCCGCTCCCCAACCCCCCAGCTAGGAGACTCTCCGTGTTCCTGGCCTTTTGCTAAAGCTTTGCAATTCCCCTTAGATCTCCAGACCTTTGTGCTAAGTTCAGTGGAGCTGCAGTACCTGATGGGATCCTGTTTCAAGTTACGGACGGTGCACAACATCCCTCTGACCAGCAACACGGACGGTGAGTGCGCTTGGCCCCTGGCCCCTTTTGTCGCAGGATTGCCAGTTGCATGTTCGGACGCTGGCTTCCGTTTGCGACCGATTGCAGCCTCCCACAGCCATTTAGAACAGTGGTTCTCAACCTTTTTAATGCCGTGACCCCCAACCGGTCGTAAGTCGAGGACTACCCAACCGGTCGTAAGTCGAGGACTACCCAACCGGTTGTAAGTTGAGGACTTTCCCTGCCCGGGAGCGCCGCACATGCGTGGTGCTGCCCCCTGCGCCGGCCGAGGCATAGCTGGCAAGTGGCAGAGACGGCGCAGGCCGACCACCGGCTGGGCCACCAGCTGGCCCAGCCCAAGGGAGGTAAGGCACCCGCCGGGCCCCACACGCACCAGCAACCCTCCCTGCGCCCGCCAGCCTCCCACTTCCCAGCCCTGGCCCTCTTTTACTTACATTTTTGGTAGTTGCTCAGCAGGGAGGGGTGGAAGCTTCCAGACAGCTCGCCTTCGCTGCAGACAACTTGCAGCACCGTTTGCAGAATGGGACTTTTGGCGGGCTCAGCAGGGCAGAGACAGACTGGACAATTCCTATTGCCTTTGGAAAGCCAATCGAATTAGACTCTATTCAAGAGAGTCTATTCTATTGGCTTTCAAAAGCCAATAGAATAAAAGGGAGTAGCACAGCTAAGGAAAAGGGGGAAAAAATGGCAGACTGCGTTGTTTGGCGACCCCCGTGTAATGGTCGTTCGACCCCAAATGGGGTCGCGACCCACAGGTTGAGAACCGCTGGTTTAGAAAGAGTACAGAGAAGAGCAACAAAGAGGATCAGGGGACTAGAGGCTAAAACATATAAGGAACGGTTGCTGGAATTGGGGATGTCCAGTTTAATGAAGAGAAGGACGAGGGGGGACATAATAGCAGCCTTCCAGTATCTCAGGGGCTGCCCCAAAGAAGAGACAGTCAAGCTATTCTCCAAAACCCCTGAAGGCAGGACAAGAAGCAATGGATGGAAACCAATCAAGGAGAGAAGCAACCTAGAACTAAGGAGAAACTTCGTGACACTTAGAACAATTAACCAATGGAACAGCCTGCCACCAGTAGTTGTGGGTGTTCCAACACTGGAGGTTTTTAAGAAGAGACTGGACAGCCATTTGTCTGAAATGATATAGGGTTTCTTTCCTGAAGAGGGGGTTGGATTAGATGACCTCCAAGGTCCCTTCCAACTTTTTATTTATTTATTTATTTATTTATTTATATTATTATTAATAATAATAATAATTAGACGTGAACTTCAGTCAACTGAACAATCAAACTGAGTGCTGATGGTTGACACAGGTTGTTGTTACTGTTTATTATTATTATTAATAATAATATTATTATTACTACTGCTACTAGCTGATGGACTTCACAGAGACTCTGGGTGTCTTATAATTAAAACAAATAAGAAAAAAACAACACACACAGAGGTGGTATTCAGCCGGTTCGCACCACTTCGGCAGAACCGGTAGCTAATTTTTTGTTGCCCGAGCCCAGAACGGACTTCCAGAAGCGACATCCACACAAAGAACCGGTTGTTCACCTATTTGAATCCCACCACTGGACACACAGGTAGTCCTTGACTTACAACAATTCATTTAGTAGCCATTCAAATTTACAACGGCACGAAAAAAATGAGTTGTGATCGTTTTTCAGACTTACGACCGTCGGCACATTCCCCATGGTTATGGGATCAAAAATTCAGATGCTTGGCAACTGACTCGTATTTACAACGGTCGCAGCATCCTGGGGGGGGGAGTGTCACGTGATCCCCTTTTGCGACCTGCAAGTGATTCCCCTTATAACTGCAGCGAGAAAGGTCATAAACTGGGGCAAAACTCACTCGTTAACAATTGTCCCGCTTAGCGATGGAAATGTTGGTCTTCAGTTGTGGTCATAAGTCGAGGACGGTACCTCTATTATGAATTTTACATTCATACAAGTTTCAAGGGTTTCCTGCCTGAGCAGGGGGTTGGGCTAGATAACCTCCAAGGTCCCCTCCAACTTTTTATTATTATTATTATTATTGTTTTTGTTACTATTATTAAGCTCCAATTTTCAAATTTGTCCTTTTCCTACCACTAGGTGGCGGTATGCTTGCAAAGAGATGCTTTGCAAACTGTTCAGGGGAAAATAAGATTTTTTTTTTTTTTTTCGTTTTTTGAAGCGTGGGAGGCCACCAAACAGCTTTTGTTTTGTTTTGTTTTTCCAAGTCATTACTTAATACTTGGAGTTGTTAAGCCATAAGTTGCTTGGGAAAAGTGGCGGCCAATTAAGACACTTTTTAAGCTCGTTAAAATGATTATGTGAAACCTCTCAGCGATTCACCCAGGGCACATGGCAAAAAAAAAAAACAACGGTTCCTAAAAACCAGCCTATGGGCAACAAAGCCCGGTGGGGGCTCCTTCCTACTCGTGACCCCCAAATTAGTGGCTTCTCTGCTCTTTGCAAGCACAGCAGCCCCTTTAATTAACAAGATCCTGTGTGCAATCTGGTGAATCTCACTTTTTAGCGTGATGTTTCCCTTCCTAGCGCATTGTTTAGGTTGCAGTTGAGCAAATGAAATAAAAGCCATTCGTCATTCGCTTATTTTTTGCACATTTTTAAATATATATATATGTAGATATTTAAAGTCAATCAGACTAGATGACCTCCAAGGTCCCTTCCAACTTTACTACTATTACTAGATAAAAAATAAAGAGCTCTGGGATGTAAGGTAAAAGGCTTTTTTATTTTTTATTAATTGCTGAGCTTTCGTTAACAACCTGTTAACATCATCAGAGCAAAGGGCTAAATGAGAAGGGGGGAGTATGCGCATAAATTTACATAACAAACAACGGTTGCAGTGGGGCATGTGCACATAGTGTGCTTAAGAAGCTCTTAAAGGCATAAAGCAATCAGTCTCAAGACCATTTTCAAAAGTCGCGCTTGTCAGCTGTTTGGCGCGTAGATCCAGCGAACAGCTGATAGGCACGCTGGATCTATGCGCCAAACAGCTGACAAGCGCGACTTTTGAAAATGGTCTTGAGACTGACTGCTTTACGCCTTTAAGAGCTTCTTAAGCATGCTATGTGCACATGCCTCACTGTTATGTAAAATCATGCGCATACTCCCCCCTTCTCATTTAGCCCTTTGCTCTGATGATGTTAACAGGTTGTTAACGAAAGCTCAGCAATTAATTTTTAAAAAAAGCCTTTTACCTTACATTCCAGAGCTCTTTATTTTTTATCTGATTGACTTTAAATGTCCATACCTGGGATTCCAATATTCAAAATTATCAAAGACACATATGTAGATAGATAGATAGATAGATAGATAGATAGATAGATAGATAGATAGATAGATAGATAGATAGATATGTTAACAATTACACTAAAAATATGATCCCTGGGTATATCCATATTTAAAACCAAACAAATAAATGTGAGCACCAGGGAGTGCTAAAAAATTTAATAAAATTTAGTAAAATGTCAATAAAATTACAATAAAACCAATAAAACGCCTAGCTTTCGTCAGCAACTGCTGACATCATCAGGGCTCAAAATGCCGGTCAGTAGGAGAGTCCTCTTTATAGATTGGCCAGAGTCTGCACCCGGCTCCTAGATCTTGTCATTGGGCATGATGGAATAGGCTGTTTCCCGGTTTCTTATTAGCAATAATTGCTTTCTTGCATTTCTTGCTTATATAACTGTCATCGGGTGTTTTCTCTTTGCCAAATTTGGGGTTTGGTGGAACGTCCCCCTCTTTTTTTGCTTAATTGCCACACCCACTTTGTTTAGTTGCACACCTCCATCCCCCCCTTTTTTACTCCATTCTGATTGCCCCGTTGCAATGCACTCTCTTATTTTCTTTGTGTTTTCCCCAATCATGGTCTCCGCAGATGTTATTCAACTTAATTGCTATCACACCCCCTGTTTCCTCCTTGCTCCTTGCTTGCACGGTGCCGCCTTGAGGGTTCTTCCGTGTTGCCTATTGATACGGGCAGATCGGCATTGCGGGGTGGGGTGAGCGGGTCGTATTCACCAAACATGTTAATGAGGCCGTTTCTCCCCTTTTTGAGTACGATCTGGTAGTCGTTGCTCCCAGGAGTCTCCTCTCTTTATCTCCAATCTTTATACATTCCACCTAGTTTAACTAACTCGCCCTAGATGTTCTCTATACGGCAATCAGGAGCATCAGTCTTCACTACTCTCTCCCCCCCACTCTTGGTGTTCCTCCCCTGTGCATCTTCTTCGGGGTCACTCCACACTTCCCGCTGGCGCATTCGGGTTGGTACTGCTAAACGGGGTGATCGAGTTGTTACAGGCATTGGGGCTGACCGGCATTTTGAGCCCTGATGATGTCAGCAGTTGCTGACGAAAGCTAGGCGTTTTATTGGTTTTATTGTAATTTTATTGACATTTTACTAAATTTTATTAAATTTTTTAGCACTCCCTGGTGCTCACATTTATTTGTTTGGTTTTTTTTATATATATGGGATTGGGGGCTATAGGGGAAGATGGGAGCACGCATGGGGTAGCATGCCCCCTAAGAGTGACACATCAGACACGGGGGAGGAAGATAGCCAGATCTGGGATTTCTTCGCAGGATCGGTCTGCAGTTACCCATGTTACTCTAGTGCGTAGTGACATGGAATGCTCGCCTCCCAGCCTAGGAGCCGCACGCAACAGAGAAGTAATCAGCTGCAAGAACTTAGAACTCAGAAATACTTCTGACATGAGTGATGAAAGGATCAATCGACCGGGCCCCATAACGAGGTCTATGAGCCGTGTGCAGGCGCGTTTGTGCTTATAAACGAGCTCCCCCACCCTCTGGCTTTTAACACCCTGACGATGATGGCAGCAATATAGCCATTGAAAGCTAGGTTATTTATTTATTAAACATTTAATTGTTTTACCTCCTGGTGCTCGTTTTTATCTTTTGAATATATATATATATATATATATATATATATATATATATATATATATATATATATATAAAATTAACCTAAAAATTGAGGAACATAGTCTCCCCATTTTTCCCCCCTTTTCCTTAGCTGTGCTCCTCCCTTTTATTCTATTGGCTTTTGAAAGCCAATAGAATAGACTCTCTTGAATAGAGCCTAATTCTATTGGCTTTCAAAAGCCAATAGGAATTGTCCAGGCTGTCTCTGCCCTGCTGAGCCCGCCAAAAGTCCCAGTCTGCAAACGGTGCTGCACCATTGAGTAGTCCTCGACTTACGACCGGTTGAGTAGTCCTCGACTTACGACCGATTGGGGGTCGTGGCATTAAAAAGATTGAGAACCACTGTTCTAAAAGAACCACTGTGGATCACCTGTAATTTTCCTTTTTCAACTTTGAAAATAAAATGAAAATTTGGGAGACAAAAAAAATAAATAAAGGCACATAAGTAGCTCTCCCTCTCCGCTTCCTCCTCCACAGATGACAAACCTTTAGGAATGTGTGGCTTTTTGCACGTGATTGTCCACTCGGTCAAGGGCTTCAAGCAATCTGCCAGTAAGTGCCAAACGGATTTCGTAGATCCATTCAATTCCTTTTCGCATCTTCCCTGTGGCTTCCCCTCTCTGGCGTCTTGTGGGGCATGATTTGACCCAGCTGCAGATTCACCAAGGGAGGGTGTGTGGGGGGGGGGATGCAGGGGGCAGTTCTGGGTCTACATCCATCCTCCTCTCCTCCTCCCTTCTAGCACTGATGATGTTCCCCAGTTGGGTGATGAAATGTCTGCAAAAAACAAGCTCAGAGAGCATCAGAGACCCCACAATCCATTTCCTCCTCCTCCTCCTCTTCCTCCTCCTCCTCCCACCACTCTTCCTCCTCCTCCTCCTCCCACCACTCCTCTTCCTCCCCCTCCTCTTCCTCCCCCTCCTCCCACCACTCCTCTTCCTCCCCCTCCTCCTCCTCCTCCTCCTACTCCTTGCTCTTTCCCCACAAATCCCTCTTCCTTCGAACACTGGTGATGTTACCTAGTTGGGTATTGAAACATCTGCAAGGAAACCACCCAGCTCAGACAGCACCAAGGACTCAACAGTCTTCTTCCTCTTCCTCCACCCCTTCCCCTTCCTCCTCCACTCCTTCCTCCTCCCTTGCTCTTTCTCCACAAATCCCTCTCCCTTCTACCACTGGTGACATCACCTAGTTGGGCCATGAAACATCTGTAAGAAAATGATCTAGCTCAGTGGTTCTCAACCTGTGGGTCGGGACCTCATTTGGGGTCGAACGACCATTTCACGGGGGTCACCAAACAAGGCTATCCGCCATTTTCCCCCCCTTTTCTTTGGCCATGCCCCTGGCACATGGTGATGTATAAGTGGTTGGGGCTCACCACAACATGGGGAACTGTATTATGGGGTCGCGGCATTAGAAAGGGTGAGAACTACTGATCTAGCTCAAAAACCACCAAGGACCCCACAGTCCTCCTCCTCCTACTACTACTACTACTACTACCACTACTACTACTACTACTACTACTACTCCACCACCACCACCACCACCATTCTTCAGACCCCACTCCTTTCTAGCATTGATGATGTTACCTAGTTGGGCAGTGAAATGTCTGCAAGAAAACCTCTAAGCTCGAAGAGCAATAAGGACCCCCCATGTCAACCCTGAGCTGCAAATATTCTCCTTTAAGAGTGAAGCTTACCTGTCCTGACGGAGTTAACCCGAGGCCTTTCCGCTGCCCCCTCCTCAATTCCCCATCATGATGCTTTTGCTTCTTAGATGGGCAGATCTTGAGTCAGCAAGCAGTTCTGAGAGGGTTGGTGAGGAGTGGCTGTTAATAGATCACCCTCCAAAGTCTTTTTTCAAGTCAGGAGCCAAATATCCTCTCTTAGAGCAGTCGTATTCGGCCTTGGCATCTTTAAAATGGGTAGACCTCAACACCCAGAATTCCCCAGCCATCCATGCTTTAAGAGGGGGGGGACTTCCACTCCCAGAATTCCCAGCCAGCCTGCTTTAAGAGGAGTGGACTTCCACTCCCAGAATCCCCCAGCTAGCCTGCTTTAAGATGTGTGGACTTCCACTCCCAGAATCCCCCAGCCAGCCTGCTTTAAGATGGGTGGACTTCCACTCCCAGAATCCCCCAGCCAGCCTGCTTTAAGAGGAGTGGACTTCCACTCCCAGAATCCCCCAGCTAGCCTGCTTTAAGATGTGTGGACTTCCACTCCCAGAATCCCCCAGCCAGCCTGCTTTAAGATGGGTGGACTTCCACTCCCAGAATCCCCCAGCCAGCCTGCTTTAAGATGGGTGGACTTCCACTCCCAGAATCCCCCAGCCAGCCTGCTTTAAGAGGGGTGGGCTTCCACTCCCAGAATTCCCAGCCAGCCTGCTTTAAGTGGGGTGGGCTTCCACTCCCAGAATCCCCCAGCCAGCCTGCTTTAAGTGGGGTGGACTTCCACTCCCAGAATCCCCCAGCCAGCCTGCTTTAAGGTGGCTGGGCTTCCACTCCCAGACTTCCCCAGCCAGCCTGCTTTAAGAGGGGTGGGCTTCCACTCCCAGAATTTCCCAGCCAGCCAAGGTTAGGAAACACTGGCCTGAGGGATGAATTTTAAGAGCTTCCCCCCTTGAAATATAAAACTGATTTCCTATTTTTCTTCCCGATGTTCTTAGACCTCTACTGCACCCTTGAAGTGGATTCCTTTGGGTACTTTGTCAGCAAAGCCAAAACACGAGTGTTCCGGGACACAACGGAGCCGCAGTGGAACGAGGTAAGACATCTGCCATGCAGGTTTGGGTCACTTCACATGACCCTGGGACACTGTGACCGTCATAAATATGAATTGGTTGCCAAGTTTCTGAATGTAAATCACAAGACCCTGGAGAGGCTGCAACATTCCAGCTGATCGGCGCTTCTTCAGGGCTCAGCAGAAGCACCAGGATCAGCGCCGAGCTCCAGCTGGATCCTGGCACTGATCCTGGCGCTTCCACTGAGCCCTGACAGCCCCAAAGAAGCGCCAATCAGCTGGAAAGCGGCACTGATCCTGGGGCTTCCGCTCAGCCCTGACAGCCCTGCAGCTCCAGCCGTCTCTCGCTCAGGCTTGTGCGGTGCTGCCACCGGTTCAGCTCATTCCCCTCCCCAGCTACCACCTTTCTAGGATGGTCGCGTACCCCCTGCCAGGTGCCAATGGGCCACAGGTGGTACCTGTACCACTGGTTGAAAAGCCCTGGACTAGATGATCTCCAAGGTCTTTCCAACTTTATTATTGTTGCTGTTGTTATTATTATTACTACTACTAGTAGTAGTAGTACTACTTTTCTTACTCTCTCTCTCTCTCTCTCTCTGCCTTTGCTGTTTCCATAAATTTCCTCCCTGTTTGACTCTGCAGGAGTTTGAGATAGAGCTGGAAGGCTCCCAGTATCTGCGCATTCTCTGCTACGAGAAGTGTTACGACAAAACCAAGCTGAACAAAGACAACAACGAAATTGTCGACCGGATCGTGGGCAAGTGGCAGGTCCAGGTGCGGAGGCCATAGCATGCGGGGCGGGGGGAGGGAGGGAAAAAAAGTGTCTGTTTTCAGGAACCTTTTTCACAGAGGAATCGGAGGGAGAGAAGGCATTGGGTTGCATCTCCTTGCAAGTAGAAAGCTAGCTTGTCAAGAAAAGGGATGGAGCCACTTTGCTTCCTTGCTTGCATTTGGCAGGGGAGCTGAGCCGTCAATCTGCAAATCAGAGCAATGTCTCTCAACCTTTCCCACTTACAGACGGGAGGATTTCCACTCCCAGAATCCCCCAGCCAGCATGTGTTAAGAGGGGCGGACTTCCACTCCCAGAATTCCCTACTCAATATGGTTTAGGAGGGGTGAACTCCCAGAATCCCCCAGCCAGCATGCTTTAAGAGGGGTGGACTTCCACTCCCAGAATCCCCCAGCCAGCATGCTTTATTAAGAGGGTGGACTTCCACTCCCAGAATCCCCCAGCCAGCCTGCTTTAAGAGGGGTGGACTTCCACTCCCAGAATCCCCCAGCCAGCTTGCTTTAAGAGGGGTGGACTTCCACTCCCAGAATTCCCTACTCAATATGGTTTAGGAGGGGTGAACTCCCAGAATCCCCCAGCCAGCATGCTTTAAGAGGGGTGGACTTCCACTCCCAGAATCCCCCAGCCAGCATGCTTTATTAAGAGGGTGGACTTCCACTCCCAGAATCCCCCAGCCAGCCTGCTTTAAGAGGGGTGGACTTCCACTCCCAGAATCCCCCAGCCAGCTTGCTTTAAGAGGGGTGGACTTCCACTCCCAGAATTCCCCAGCCAGCCATGCTTTAAGAGGGGTGGACTTCCACTCCCAGAATCCCCCAGCCAGCCTGCTTTAAGAGGGGTGGACTTCCACTCCCAGAATCCCCCAGCCAGCTTGCTTTAAGAGGGGTGAACTTCCACTCCCAGAATCCCCAGCCAGCATGCTTTAAGAGGGGTGGACTTCCACTCCCAGAATTCTCCAGCCAGCATGCTTTCAGAGGGGTGGGCTTCCACTCCCAGAATCCCCCAGCCAGCATGCTGTGATGGACTTAAGTGAACGTGAGCCAGGTTGAGAAATACTACATTAGAGTCTTTTTGAAGGAGATTGAGAGAGGCTGTGTCCCTCGCACCGTGAGATATGAATTTGATAAGTATGAATTTGATAAATACATAGAATACACATTTAAGACAAAAAAGGAAAAAAAGAGGAAATATTTGCCAGTCCTTCATGCAAAGAGCTATTTTCATTTCATCCTCCAAACAGAAAAAAGATTTCCTTCCCAGTAAAAAAAAAGGGGTGGGGGGAAATCTAAGACTCTGGCTGGCCTTTTCCAAACGAAACCGCCGTACAGAACAATTGTGGGATTTGTTGCTTCGAAAGAGAAACAGGGGCATTACAGGGAGTCCTTGACTTACCATCGCAAAGCCAGGGCGGTCGTTAAGGGAGCTTGCTCCTGATTTTATGGCCCTTTTTTCCATGGAGGCTAAGCGAATCGCTGTGGGTTGTTAAGTGAACCAGACGGTCATTAAGCGAATCTGACTTTCAATATTGACTTCGCCTGTCGGAAGCCGGCCGAGAAGGTCACAAAGGACGATCAGATGACCCTGGGACACTGCAACCATCCTAAATGCATGCTGGTCGCTGATGTTGAGATGGTCGTAAGGGCGAGGACTCGTCATAGGTCACTTTTTTTCGTGCCGTTGTAACTTGCAACGGTCCCTAAATGAAGTGTGTAAGTCAAGGAATACCTGGAGCCTGGTTCGGAGGCCTCATTCCCCGTGTTTTTCTGCTGATTTTTCCTCCGAATTTCTCCCTCTCCCCCTCCTTGCTTGTATATTTGACAGTAATTCCAAATATTTTATGTTTGACTCAATTTAAGAGGGAGGGAGGAAGCATTGAAGGCCCCAATTGACTGGTTTATTTCCCAGTAAGAGGCATAAATCACGTGCAGCTTAGAAACAGTCAAAGATTTTGATGGAGTGTGTTGCTTTTTCGTGTTGAGGTTGTGAGGTGGGACCTGTTTGCTATTGGCATCGTACGCTGGGACTGGCAAGAATTAGGAACAAAGAAAGTAAAATAGAAGAGAATGTTGGCAATGCAGGGGTGAACTGTGGGGGTCCTGGGTGCTCTCTGAGCTTGGGGGTTTTCTTGCGGACGTTTCATGACCCAACTATCTAACATCATCAGTGCTGGGAGGAGGAGGAGGAGGAGGGGGACTGTGGGGTCCTTGGTGCTCTCTGAGCTGGGTGGTTTTCTTGCAGACGTTTCATCACCCAACTAGGGAACATCATCAGTGCTAGAAAGGAGGAGGAGGAGGAGGAGGAGGAGGAGGAGGAGGAGGAGGAGGAAGAAGAAGAAAAGGACTGTGGGGTCCTTGGTGCTCTCTGAGCTGGGTGGTTTTCTTGTACATGTCTCATGATGACCCAACTAAGTAGCACCATCAGTGCTAAAAGGGAGGAAGGATTGTGGAGTAAAGGAGGAGAAAGGGAGGAGGAGGAAGAAAAGAAAAAGGAGGAGGAGGAGGAGGAGGAGGAGGAGGAGGAGGAGGAGGAGGACTACAGGGCCCTTGGTGCTCTCTGAGCTTGGTGGTTTTCTTGCAGATGTTTCATGACCCAACTAAGGACACGTCATCAGGGCTATGGGAGTGAGGTTTGTGGGGGGGTGGAGGAGGAGGAGGAGGAAGAGGAGGAAGACTATGGGGGTCCTTGGTGCTCTCTGAGCTTGTTGGTTTTCTTATGGACGTTTCATGACCCAACTAGGGAACATCATCAGGGCTAGAAGGAAGTGAGGTTTGGGGGGGGGGAGGAGGACTGTGGGGTCCTGGTCCAGCTTGTTGGTTTTCTTGCGGATGTTTCATGACCTAGCTAGGTAACGTCATCAGTGCTAGAAGGGACTGGGTATGTGAGGAGGAGGAAGACATGGAGCAGGAGGAGACCCACGACTGTGGTGTCCTTGGTCCTCTTTGAGCTTAGCTGTTTCCTTGCAGACATTTCATGACCCAACTGGGTAGCACCATCAGTGCTAGAAGAGGAGGAGGACGAGGACTGTGATGTCCTTGGTCCTTTCTGAGCTGGGCTGTTTTCTTACAGACATTTCATTAGCCAAATTACGTAACATCATCAGTGCTAGAAGGGACCACAATGGAGGCCAAAGTGTCTGTTGATAAGCCAGACCGTCCTTAAGGCAGTTTTGCCTCCTTTTATGACCTTTCCTGCCACTGTTGTTAAGTGAATCGCTGCAGCTGTTGAGCTAGCCACACAGTCGTTAAGTGAGTTGACCTTGCTGGTCAGGCGGTTGCGCAGAAGGGGATCACGTGACCACTCCAGGACGCTGCAAAACCGCCATAAATACAAGTCAGTGGCCAAGCGTTCTGAATTTCGATCACGTGACCACCGGGGGGGGGACACTGCCACTGTCGTCAGCGTGAAAAACAGCCCAAGGTCACTTTTTCCAGTGTTGTCATATCTCAGAATATCCACTCAATGAACTGTTGTAAGTCAAATAATGCAGAATGTCATGCTTCCGATAGATGAAACTCTTCAAAGAACTTGGAGGCATTGTTTACCTTAAAGAATCTTTATTTTGAGTAGCATAACTTTGGCACTGCATAATGGAAGCCAAAAGCTGAATTCCCCTCCCCTGAGCACAATTCCCTCCTCCAATTAACAGTCATAAATCACATTCCCCAATTAGGTTGAAGTGCAGGCTTTCCCTCCAGTTCTCCAGCCCTCCAATTCTTATCACCTCTTATTTCAATAACCTCGGTTCTCACACTAGGTCCAGTATTGTTATGTCTGGCTAGACTCTCGTTCACATCCCCCCCTCCTCCCAGCATCATCTAACTCTAAAAGTATCTGTCTGTCTGTCTGTCTATCATCTATCTATCTAGCTAGCTAGCTAGCTAGCTAGCTAGCTATATATATCTATCTACCTACCTACCTATTATATCTATCTATTACAGTGATTTTTAATGCCGCAACCCCCAACCAGTCATAAGTCAAGGACTACTCAACCGGTCGTAAGTCGAGGACTACTCAACTGGTGCAGCACCGTTTGCAGAATGGGACTTTTGGCGGGCTTAGCAGGGCAGAGACAGCCTGTTCAATTCCTATTGGCTTTTGAAAGCCAATAGAATTAGACTCTATTCAAGAGAGTTTATTCTATTGGCTTTCAAAAGCCAATAGAATAAAAGGGAGTAGCACAGCTAAGGAAAAGGGGAAAAAAATGGCGGACTGCGTTGTTTGGCGACCCCCGTGAAATGGTCGTTCTACCCCAAATGGGGTCCCGACCCACAGGCTGAGAACCACTGATCTATTATATCTATTATATGAAAATGGTTGCATCTCTAACTGTTGTCAGAGCAAAAACATCCAATGTTAGCACTGTTGACACAGGGGTCCCCAACCCTCGGGCCACCGGCCACTACCGGCCTGTGGCCTAATGGCTACTGGTCTACGTGAGTGGCCAGCTGTTACATACACAAGCCTCCTTCGCGCAAACCTCATTGCAGGCGCTCACGGCCTCCCTCGTGACAGCCTCGTTACGGGTCCTTGTAGCCCCCCACTCCTGCGGGTGTTGTTGTGAACAGAGCAGCTGTGCACACGACCTGCCCCCCCCAAATCATCCCCTCTTTCCCCCCCCTCCCCTCTGAAAAGTTTGGGGAACTTACTAGATGACCTCCAACTTTATTATTATTATATAACTCTAGAATAAAGCACTCTTGTCTGGCGCCTCGCAGATTCGCCTGAAGTTTGGGGCTGCTTGTCAACAGGACCATAATTATTGCAAATCGGTACCCGACGTGTTCCGGGGTTCAGATGTGTCCTCCCTTTGTCTTCGGATGCCAGCAGGATGCCACTCCAGCTGTCTCTCTGATGCCAGGCTGGGGCACTGCCAGTTCCTTTATGCCAAGGCGGCGAATCCCACCGGAGGCGGTCCCCCCCCCTCTCACTGTTCTCTCCTCCATCTGTACATTTATTTATCGGCTCCAGCTGAGTCTGCCCTAGTTAT